TATCATTCTGCCTTGGTGTCTTTTGTTATTTCAAATTATTTATTAAATAATAATTTTATTTATATTTTCGTATTAATTGTTTATAGAAAATTGCAACTTGTGCATACATTATTTTAATTAATTTGGTAATATATTTTTTTTATTCAAATTTTATTAATACTTGTAGCAATACTATTAGTATTGCTAATATTATTAAAAATTATTAATAATTTTTCTTAATATTAAGAATATCAACATTTCAATATTGTTTACAAGTTGTAAATATAGTTTTAATATGTAATAGATTCATTTTTAATTTTTAAATAAAAATAATAAGATATGCATACATTCAATGATGAATATTTAAATTATACCGATTATTTCAATTTAATAAATAAGGTTGCAATGTAATAAACAATTAACTGCTATGAGTAGTTTAGTAAGTTTTTTTCATTTTTCTACTATTTGATGCAAACATTAAGTTGTTAAGCAGAGTACTGGTTAATAATCCAATGTATCACAATGAGTAATGTAATTTAGAAAATTAAATTAAATTGTATTGCTGTATATAGAAGATACATATTGTTTTAAGTGTTACAGTTTATGATCTTGGCAGTTTATCTTGTTACAGTTTACGATCTTGACTATCAATTGTATTTCTATTTTGGACTTAAATAAAACTAATAAGTCAATCTTGTTGGTTATTACATTAAGTACAGACTAAATGGGGCAACAGACAGAGGTATATATTATCACATAGAAAAAATATTTCTCCATATCATGGATATATTTCAACTTCAAAGACACTTATAATATAATTAAGTCTATTAAATTGATTTATATTTTAATAGAGATGGTAATGAATACGGAGAGAATATTATTATAAGCTGTTTAACAAATAGAAAGTATGAACCATGAGATCATGTATCCTATGTCATAGGTTTGGAAACTTAATAAATATTGGCTTAAGTGAACAATAATATTCTCTGTAAATAATGAAAGTAAATTTAATTATTGATATTGATTCTGTACAGAGTTCATTAGTTAATAATTCATCACCTATACTGTAATCCTAATAAGGATTGATGAAGAAATAAAAATGGATCGGCAAAGCATATATCTAATTTTGCACTTTTGAAAGTTATAATGGAGATAGATAATTATATATAGTTACTGCTTTGATAAATTTTACAAAAGAAATAAATCTGTACTATAATAAGATCGGTAAATTAATATATTACCAGTATTTAGAATTGCAATAAAATAGTTAATTCATTTTGTTCGGAATTGGAGAATTCGTTCAAGGCCTACGGTTCTCGGAAATTCACCAAGCCTTCAAACCCTCGAATGTTACATTCGACATTACATCGAAATTACATTTAACAAACAGAATTTTCGAATAGTCTAAAGCTTGAATTCTCTAATCTTCCAAGACTTTGGTTCCGCCGAAATTTCGAATCTTCCAAGGCTTCGCTTTCATCGAATTCTCGAATAGTCCAAAGCTTAGATTCTCGAATCTTGCAAAACTTTGTTTTCGCTAAATTCTCGGACCTTCCAAGACTTTGCTTTCGCCGAATTCTTGAATAGTCCAAAGCTTGAATTCTCGAATCTTCCAAGACTTTGCTTTCTCCGAATTCTCGAACCTTTCGGCAACCGACTAGTCTCCATATTGCAGCACCTAAGCTTTAGCTGCCGCGCTGATATTTAAGGAAGCCCGCATTAAGACTCCCCGTAGTTATCACTCAGCAGTCATTCTGTACACAGTGTCAGTAGTTATCACTCAGCAGTCACTCAGTACATAGTGGCAGTTATTCCTTCGAGTCAGTTACTCATCCTAGCCAGTTATCTACGCCCAACCACGCCATTAAACTGAGTCTACAGCAGAGAGAAAGTTGCGTAACACATGCTCTCTCAGTGCAGCCATTGCAAGGAATACGTTCAATTCTCCAGTGTGCAACGGTTAATAACTAGTCAAGGGCTGACTGTAGTTCTAGGAAATAGTTGGCTACATGAAGCATGGTATCGGACCCTCCTTCACACGAAGGTATACTTTCTTTATTGAAGATTTATGGAAGCTATTGAGAATAACTACCACATAAAGAATCCCAAACTCCCCTTCATGACTATGGCCGATTCTTCCTGCTAACCTTTACAACGTTGGGATAGACTTGAAACCGAAGCGAAATTCCCCTTCAAGGAATATAGAAAATCCATTGCTGATCCCCATAACGTCCTCGACGACATCAGCACCATCACCAAGGAGCAACTACATCATTGTCATTGAACAGAATTCATACTCTATCACGAAAAGAGAATGCAGAACAACAATAGCGTAGTTGTCAATAAAACCAAATAAACGATGTTCTAACGAAGTTTACGCACACTGAACATATTTACACGCCTTCAACCTATGTCCTTTCCCAAACATCGTAAAGCGGGCGACAAATAAACTGAACCATTGAACTTGGCAGATCGGGATAGAAAATGAAATACATTTGATCCTTCGAACCGGATCAAATACACAAACTTTTCGAACACTTTTACAGACTTGTATAGGTATGAAACTTATTGTAAATTAAATATTTCAATAAAAAAGATTCATATTTAGATTATATCAAATTATTATTGAAAGAAGAATTTTCTTAGTATATTATATGCTATTTTAGATCATTCTAAATATCAATTGCTGTTTAATTATCTCAAAACTAATTATCAATTAAAAATAGGAGCAAACGTACTATAAGTAAGATAATTTAAAAAATGCCCTGGTAAATTTAGAAAATAATTCATACCAATTTTACTGAATTTTTAATATAAGCACTATCTAATCTATTTTATATAGCCAATGGAATCTAGTTTAATGAAAACTACCATGTGCAAAAATCAATGTTTATCACCTACCATATATTAAAAATAATTGTCCTGTAATCATTTGCTTGAAGAATAAATTTATATTTGTTAGAGTAGTTTTCATTTCAACAAAATTTAAATATAAAAGCCTTGGATGAATTTAAATATATTCGATTTATTATTAAACCAGGACAGGTTGCAGTCAGAAATTTAAAACATTTGATAAAAATTATTCCGTCATAATTAATTATTTCAATACCAGAAAATCTGTAATAACTTTAAAAAAAAACAACATAATTGATATCAACTTCATTGATTCCAAACACAAGGATTTTTATGTATTTATAATATTCAAATAAATGTATATGATTTTAAGTAAACAAGTTCTGAAACCAAAAAAAACAAATGCATTAAAATTTTTAATCTATTTATAAAATTATCGAATAATGAAGGTTTCATGTAATAAAATTTAAATATTCTACAAAAAAATTCACATTTAAAAAAGAAATTGAGATACAATGCATTTATATTTAATATTTTTAAAAATGTCTTCACAGCAAAATACTCTTGAGTTTTGTAGAAAAATAATGTACAGTTATTTATACTAATGAAGTCAAATGATTTTTCTCCTTTGTATTGTACCTTATTACTTTTATAACATTTCGTATTAGATTTTTAAATTTTGTTCTTAATGTTACAAATTTATGTTATTAATAGTAGTTTAGTAATTTGAATAAATTATTTATGTTTGCTTGTACCAATATAATTAAGTATTTTATAATTATGTTTAGCTATTAAATAATTTTTAATTAAATTCATTTCCTAAAATTATAAAACTTAATAAATTATTGATATCACTGAATTACTTACTACTACCTTTATAGGCATAATATGTAGTACATTATTAATTAACCAATCTTTATAAAAATATTTTTAATTCTTGCAAGGGACTAATATTACCTCAAAACACATGATAAAAACTTTATACTATTAAAACTGTTACAATGATAAATCAATGTTATTTATTTAAAATCTTGATATCGTTTCAATATAATATATAAATATGTAAAACCAATTATAATTTTATATAGTTATTTAATAGAATTTCTAATATAATCATTGTTTATAAATATTCAATTTTTTGTCTTGTATTTCAAGGATCATTAAGTCTGTCTATTTAAAGTCATGTGGGTATGCTATTGATAGTTTAAAAATTAAAATTTTTTTTATATTTTATTAAAGAACTTATTAAATTCAATGATTTATTTTTATTTATATAATATAACACATAACTTTTGCAACATTTTAAAATGCTATTGAAATAAATTAATAAATCATTTTATTATATAATTTAATAATTTAAATTTGAAATTCAGAATAATTAAAATTTAATATGATAATTAAACAATTCAAATAAATTGTATTGTTACAATTTTTAATATTTAGTTAAACATAAAATTAAGAAAAATTCTATTATAATTATAAATAAGTATATATATAAATTACAACATTTTATAGTTGAAATCTTTCTGTTTAGGAAATTTACTAAATGATACAATTTGTCATTTTTAAGACATTCTTGTATTTATAAATACTTCTTTTCAGATATATTTAATACAATATAAACTTTAATACATTGTTTACAAAAATTATATTTGATTATCTTTGCTATTAGTATTTAAAAAAAAAAAGAGTATATAAATTCCAATATTGTTTTTGCTAAAAGTAGATTGATATAGTAATTAAATGAAGCGACTCAAACTTTTAATATACCAAACATTTTGATATTTGAAAAATCAGACTAAAAAAAGACATAGTCACTGATACTGAGATAATTTAAGAATTTTGTAAGAATCTAGCTTTTTTAAACTTATAACTCATTATATGAAATACATAATTATAATCACATCATTATTTTATGTATGTAATATACCAAGTAATAATTTATAATTGTTACAATACAAAATTTTTGTAAATTCCGCATTAAGAGTTTTGTATCAGATAACAATTTCTTTTTCTTTAAAAAAAGCGTTAAATTATTCGTTATTTATTCAGTTTATTAATAGAATAGCTTAATATTATACTAAGTAAACGCAAGTAACTTAACAACATTTAAGGCACAGCAGGTTTATATTTTTATAATTAAAATAAATTTAATATCTATTCTCTATTTATTATTACATTTTGATCTAATTATCGAAATCGAAACAAGCAATAAATTTTAATTAATTTAAAGACATATGCCGTGCACACTATTTAGCTGGACCACTCCAAATAATACATAAATAAATTGTTCAAAGTATTTCTTTAACCGCACATAACTTGACGTACAAAATCTTCATAATTTATATTACCCTGTGAATCTTCATGTCCAGTTAAAAGTGTTTCAACCTCTTCATCACTAAGCTTCTCGCCTAATAGTTGAATCGAATTTATAATGAAAAATAATTGAAGAAGAATAGTTTTTAATACAACTTTAATTGAAATTTTATTTAAAATATTCTATTTACCAAGAGTTGTCAATAAATGTCTGAGTTCAGCAGATGAAATAAACCCATTCCCATCTTTATCAAAGTGTCGTAATCCTTCAATGAAGTCATCAGCAGTGTCAGAAGTACGTGCTTTGCTTATTGCTTGATAGATTGGCAAAAATACTTCAAAACTGATTCTTTCATCAGGTTTATGTTGATTCGTGAATTTTTTAACATCTGATTCTGTAGGATTTTGACCTAGAGCTCGTAAGGCATCTCCAATTTGAGCTACATGGATTTTACCATCTCCACGACTGTCGAAAAGTTGAAATGCTTCTTGGAATTCTAGAGAAATAAAAATTTTATTAACCATTTAAGATTTAATTATTTTCTTAATATAAATACAAAATTTGTATTTGTAAAAATTTATAAAATCAATAAGTAATACATAAATTAAATTAATACTAAATAAATAAACTTTTTATATTTTATGATTCAAAATTAAAAAAAATCTTTTATTACAGAAAGGATAATTTGTTAGTATTTAAAAAAAATATATTTATACAATAAATTATTATTTTACATAAAATCTATAAATGAAACCACTATACATAATTTAATATATTCAATAAATGAAAATACTTTGATGACAATCTTTTTAAATAAAATTTACCATCCATGGATGACATCATCCTATTAGCCAATTCTTGATAAGTAAATACATACATTGTGCCGATTTGTTAAAATTGAAAAGATTAATTTAAATTATTTAATTAAACTTGAAATGATGATACACTTTGAATAAATAAAATACAGTAGATATAACAATTGAAATTGAATGAAAATCACACTATTAATTTCAAACACCATACATTATTTAAATTTGTTCTACAAATATAAACACATAAGCATATTTAAAGACTATAACCAAAAAATTTGCTAGGAGTAAAATGTCTCACTATCAAGACTAAATTGAATTAACAATCTGTAGCTATAAAGATACGCCGTAAAACCGGTAAAAATAAAAGAGGAAAATGAGGAGACTTAATCTTGGATAAGTTACAACGATGACATTCACTTTCAAATATCACACCATAAAAGGTTGGTTTCGATACGAAGTATGTACATACATCACGAAAAGGCTCTCGACGAAGTTATTCTTGACCTAAATTTAAAAAATGGAGGTCTTCGCACGTACTTCTTTTTTTCTTCGTAGGTTTCCCCCCGCTCTGACTATTTTTGAATTTCGTTTTCGAAATTCATACTATTATAGGCGTACTACTCACCGGCCAACTGATCCTCGGTATAAGAAGCCTGCGATCAAAGGAAATAAAATACGAATAGTCAATCATTGCGGTTAGATCAATAAAATTTTTATAAAAAAATCTGATAGGTGGAAAAACTAGTTTACCATTGTTTCTTCGTGACTTTTACTCTAATGCTATCGATTGACAAATGTTCAACTTTCCATCAAATTAAAATAATAATATATAAATATTTCTAACAGGCTGATATCACTTAACTATATTACACCAATTATTTCTTGAAATAACGTTACTACGTACTACATATGCTAAATTCTACAGCACTAATTGGTAAAGTAAATTGTGATACGTACAATTTATTTGTATCTCACTCTTTTTCAAGGCCTAGTATATATTCTAGAACGTCAGCGAGATTATATTGTTTTCGATTTTCCTATCTTTCGAGAGTTGGATTATTTATTTTTTAATAACTTATACATAGCGCCAAATTCAAATTCTTGTGATTTCTTTGCTAAACTTTATTTTCTTCTTATTTTAATAACATGAAAATTTTTATGCATATAATATAAATTGAAATTATATATTTATAAGAATATAAATAAGATATTATATAAATAAAATAAGATATTTACCGTCCTATTCAAGTTATTATTAAACTTATACTCTTTTTTATATTAAGAGATTTTTAAATGATTTAAATTTCTTAATCCTGTGATAATAAGATTTAATAAAAATTTAGAAATATTAATTTTTCCTTTATAATAAGCTTATCTAACTTGAAAATTCAAGAATGAAAATTATGTATATGTAATTTATTTGTAATTCTTGTAAATACATACTTACTAGATATATTGACTTACATTTATATAAATTAAATTTGTAGTTAAATATTTCTTTTAATTTAATATTTATTATAAATCATTATATAATACAATATAAAACGATTAAAATTTTTTTATAAATCGTTCTTTTTCTATTATTGCGTAAAATTTTAGCATTAATGAATTCTTATTTTATATTGATATACACGCAAATATCATATTTTATATATTATTATTAATACTTTATATAACTTGATATAATTAGACTTTTTTAATTATATACAAGACATATTGTATTTAAAATAATCTTTATTCCAAATTTAAAAAATGCTATATTATATATCCTATATATAAAATAAAATGAAATATTTTACATTATATACTTTAAAATTAAAGCTTCATTACAAAATTAAAAATATATGTATTATAAATATAAATAAAGTAATAAATCATGAAATTATAAAATTAATTATAAATATATAACAAATAAATTTTTAAACATCATCTAAAAAAATGTATAATATACTTAAATTTAGAAAATTAAAGTAGTTATTTTTTTTATATTATATTTACAACATGGAACAAATGCTTATTTGATATATATATTTATACATATAAAAAATTTAAGTAATTATTAAAATGTAAGTACCCTTTAATAATTCTTAAAATTATAAAAAACATTACATACATTATATAATATTGAAAGATGATTGTTTTTAATATTTTATAAAAAAAATTATTCAAAACTTTTTATTTATATCTGAAAAGATAAATATATTTTTTATAATTATTCTTGTTTTAGACACTTTGTTATAACATTGTGTAAAGCAATAATTATTTTTCATCTATTTTCTCCAAAGAATAGATTTAATGAAATTTCAAGATGGTTAAGTTTTTTAATTTATTGAAGATTAATACAAATAATATATTTGTAATGGGAAACTAGTTTTACATTAATATTTTATTTACAAAATAACAAAGTTCAAATTTTATGTTTATATTATATTTAATTAATATTTTGAATGTGTATGTTTCTCAAAATTCATTGTTATTAATAAAATATTTTTAAAGTTATAAACCAACTTTTTACTTTGTCTAGTATTTATTTATATTCTACATTTTTATTTAATTACTATTAAAATTATCTTCTAAAATATATCCATAATCAGTTTGTGATTATTAAAATGATTGGATACTTAAGTATCGAAACATTTTCTATATAAAATTAATACTTGTTATAATAATTATAATGTAATTATAAAACTCAATTTCATAGGCACAATTTTGATGAAAAAATTAGTTTAACAAAGTATTTATTCACTATTGTGTCGACATAATAATTGTTAGTATGAATACTAAGTTTCTTAAAAAAAATAAGAAAGATTTTGAATAAATATTAAAATTATTCTATAATTTTATAATTTCTATAATAAAAAAATTCTATTTTTAAAGGTAAAATATTAATATATAGAAAAATATATAGTGTACAAATTATTTTACTAAGTTTAATATTTATTTGATTTCATACGCTTTTTTAAAAATTTTTTAAAAATTATAAAGTAAAATCTGTTAATAAAAAATGTTTGAATGTATACTTTGAACGTATTGAAAAATAATCATTACATGTAGATTATAGTTTTCATTTAAGAAGAACAATCATTTATTAATTTATAATGAAATTTGACATTTTAAATAAAAATTAAAAAATGATGCAGAAGGCACGTATTTTCATTCTTATATTAATTATTTTTAAGAATTAATAAAAATAATGTTACACTTAAAGATAATTTATCAATAATTAAAAACATTGATACCTATTACTTTACAATATTATTTAATTTTTTAATTAAACTGTTTTAAATTATTCGTTTATTTATACTATTAAATTAATTTTGTTCCAAGTGTACTAGATAATGAGTTTGTTTATAAAATAATAAGATATTTAAATAACTAAAAGATCTTTGAATTTAATAGAAGAAACAGTATACTATTCACAATTGAGTTAAGTTGAAAAAATATTAATGAGAAAAATTGTCAAATGGTCAAAGTAGACCTATGTGGCAGATTATGTTGCACATTTTATAATAAAAATGTGATATTCTAAAATAATTGCAAAATAACCAAATGAGGTTGTATTAAATTTCTACTTTGATAGTGTCTAGTAAAATATTTATAGTCTAACAAATTATTATTAAACATATTAGTCAATTAGAACCAATAGCTGTTGAGAAATGTTACTAAATAATAAAAATAAATAATTATATACTTATATATAATATCTAATTTTAATATATATATTGAATCAATTTCAATACTAATTACACTTTGAAGTGCATTGATGTTAGTTCTTAATTGAATAAATCTTTTTTCTCCGTGACTTTAATTGATATAGTATTTTTATTATGCTCTTTTACCATCACCATATAAGAACATAAAAATTTCATTTCGAAGAGTTACATTTGGTTTCAGGTTCATTGTTTTCAGTGATTCATTTGTCATCGGGCTGGTAAATTTGCTGCAAAGAAACCATTCATTTATTGCTGCTCTTTCGTAAGTGAAACCATCTATAAGGAACAGGCTTCATTTTAGTAGCTTATAAATTGAATTTTATATTATTAATAGATGTTTCTTATGAAGTCTACGTTAACTATTTGAGAAAACTTAATATTTAATTCAATAGTATTTAAAACGTAATCAATAATTAACAGAAATTTTATTCGTTTTTGTCTACTTAGAATATCTACTTGTGAATATTAAGTATATTACATTATGAAATATATATATAGAAATATTTTTTGTAAGTTTTAAAATTAATATATAAATAATCGATAAAGAATCTGTAAAATAATCTAATTTTGTTAAATTTTTACAATACTTGTTTATTTCAAAATATAATTAAAAATATAAATTATAAATATAATAAAAAGAATGTTAATATTAATTAATTACAATTAATTAAATTAATTTTGTTTATTCTTATTAATCAAGGTGAATATTTTAATGAAATACTATAATTAAATTGAAAAATATTCTTAACCTGAACATTGAACGGGTTCTCTCATTACTTCACGAGTAATGGGACATAAGAAATCATCTGGAATATCTACATTATCAGTGATGCACATTGCATTGGAATCTTCACATTTCAACCAATATAACTGCTTACGAAACATTTCAAGTTTCTGAAGTAAAGATAAAAGTTGTGATAAGATTTTAAAGCTATCTATAATGTAGTATTCAAAAATATTATACCAAGTAACTATTTAATTATAATACTGATTTATATCTAGAACAATAAGTCAACCAGATTAAGCTTTAATTAAAAAAATTAATTTTTATAAGAATCTTTAAATAAATTAAAATTATATATATATATGAATTATTAAAAATATTTTCTAATAAACTATATTAGTGCATCAAATACCATTATTTTTATGTTAAAATAAACAATTTCGTTAAATTTTAATATAAAAATACCTCTATAGAATAATTAAATCGAAGTTTACTTATTACAATTCCTTCTGGCATATGTAATAGTATCCTTCCATTTAAAGAAAGAATTTTTACATTTTTTACCAAATTGGATAAGTTCACTTCATGCAGCCATTTAATAATATCATCCACTGTCCAATCAATCACCTAAAAAGTATTATGAAAAATGTACATGTAAAACATTAAAATAAATTTTGATTTATTTGTTAATTTTTATTTTATTTTAAATTGTTAATGCAAATTTTAATGGGATTAAAATAATTAATATATTATCTAATAATAATGCTTTATTTACAAAATAATTTTCTTCTTTAGATTTTATAATTTGGTTATAATTTTAAAATAAGATATAAATACAATTATTTTGTTTCAATTCTGAATTCATTTATAATAATTACCATATAAAATATTATTAATAATATTAAATTTGAATAATTAAAAAAGTAACTTTTAATACTATTTATTTACATTTTATTTATTTATTAATTCAATTAATTAACGTATTTTATCTATTAATTAATCATACTTTTTTTCTAATATTTCGTAGGTGCTTAATTAAAATATTTTGAGAAATTAATTGTTTAGGTAATTTCCAAATAAAAACGGACTTATCCAATGTACCTGTAATAATATAATATTTATAAATTGACTGTTGTAAAACAAAAAATTACAATTGATTTAACATGTACTTATTGAACAAAATATTTAAGAAATTATAAAAATTTGTTTTATTCATAAATGGCGATGGAATATTTTTCTAAAGATTAAATTTTTATTTAATATAAAATTTCAATAAACATTAATTTATTATTACGAAGCTTACTTAAACATATTAAATAGCTTAAATAATAAAATATGTATACCTGTTAAAAAAAGAGATGTATCTTCAGAAAAAGCACAGGTGGTAACGAAGGTGTTATGATTTTCAAGTACATACAAACAGATTCCAGTACGCTTAATACAATTAAATAAAATAACGCAATTAAAAGATTTATTATATAAATTATATTATGTAATGTAAAAAGAAATATCTAGTCCTCATAATAATTTTGTGTGCTTTATCCTTTAATACAATTCTTCAATATTTATATTTCAAATTATTAAAAAAAAAATATATTACAACACATTATAAAAGTCACTTGTCAGCCATTATATGTTTTGATTATTTTTTACATTTATTTATTTACGTTATATATAATATATGAATATATACAATTATTTCATTTTTATAATTATTTATTAAAATTAATTATTATAAATGTGTAAAAGATATTTAGGCAAATTATTTGTTTTACTCTATGTAGATTTAAAATTTTGAAATTCATATATAAACTTATTCAAAAGATGGTATGCATAAATAGTATAATTTAATTTGCAATAATTTTAGATAAAAAAGTACCTTATTTGAAAGCTCATTGCTGATAATTAAAAATATTTATTTTATATTAAGAAAAATAAATATTGAATATGAAAAAATTACACTTTTGATATAAAATTAAATAGATTTTGATTTAAAAAATAGTTATTTATTACAAATAAGCCAGATAAAAAACTTATTAAATTCATTATATTTTAATTGATTATATATATTGTTGACTTTATTTAATTTAATATTATATTGATTTTTTTAACAAAAAAAGACAATGTTTAATTGATTATAACATCGAAATGTTGATTATATATCGAAATTTTTTTTTTAAATAATCAATTATACACAAAATTATTTAAATGCATTTTTAGACCACAAAATATTAGTAAAAAAAAATTATTTCTTTATGGAAAATTAATAATTAAAATTAATTTGTACAGATTCAATCTGGTTATCTAGTATGCATAGATGATAAAATCTTCTGAAATTATTATAAATATTCTTAATTATTATTAAGCAGTAGTAAAAAAGGTAATAGTAGAAACATAAACATAAAGCAGACACTAATAGAAATACAAGGATGATAGATATTTTCTGATTATCTTACAACGCCCCAAATGCGTGCTGTTCGGTCGGTCGCAACACTCCCCAAAATTTCCCCATGGATCGGTGAAAATTTGACGCATGTGACATTACCTCCATGTCCAACAAACTGTCGCTTTTCGGTGTATAATATTCTGAGACTTTTACTACCGAGTCTCTTCATCAAATCGACATCTTCTATGATTACTATGATGCTCCAAAATTTTATAAGCGAATCGTTGCCACACGTTACCATCATATAAGATTCATTGGCCAAACCTATAAATAATAATTTTTTAAAACTTTAAAAATTTACTATAGTTGATACAAAACATTACTTAAATTATAGTCTTCATAATTAATGATTTATTTTATTTTCACTTATAAATTAATAAATATTATTGTAAAAATGAAAAATTAAAGCACTGCTACTCAATTTTATGAATTCACATTGAAGGATATAAAATCCATTAATGAATGCAGCTGGAATATTTAAAAATTATATTACTACAAATTTATGGAACTATAAGTTGAAGTTATAACTATTTTTCAGATTAATATTTTAAATTCAATTATTTTATTAGAATATATTATATTTATTAATATACTATTATATATTTTCTAATAAATACAAGACACAAGAATTTATTGTACAATAATTTAATGAATTTCTTCAATTTATCTGACTTAATTATTATTTTTCATAGTTATGTAATTAATGAATGAAACATAAAATACATACATTTCATTGTATTATATTAATAATTACTTTTTTTTAATATTGTTCAAATTAGTAGCTTTAAATATAATATATTAATAGCAATGTATTAAAATAAAAAATTTTTTAAATAATTTTATAGTTATATTTTATTGATCACACATAACAATTTAGATTAATTTTTAATTAAAAGGAGACAGAAATTAATTTATTAAAATATATAACTTAAATGCAATATACTTTTTTATATATTTGTATTGAAATGATTAATTTTTTTTTATACAACACTTTTTTGGATAACATTAAAGTTAAAATTTCTTAAATTGATAAATTTGTTTGATTTTTAAGTAAAATATACTCAAGCATCGAAACTTAATTCATCTTATAAATAAACCTTACTACTTATATGAGTATAAAATAATATATGATATAAGGGTAAATCAATCACTAGAATCTGTATATGATGATAAGCAGTACCTGTTATAATAAAAGGTTTAATAATGGGACTAAAATCACATCCTTGTACACCAAGATCATGCCCCTTATTACAGACGAGGAGCGCATTGACAGAAGCACTCAGTGCATATCCTGTATCAAATAAACGCCAAGTACCACCACTACAAGCTGCCACGAGATAGCGCGAGTCAGGAGTGAAAGCAAGTGTTGTTATTGCATCTATATGACCTTCAAAAATTCTGTAAAAATTACAGCATAAGATTAAATGCTAAGCTATGATAACTTGATTAAAATAACGTTAATGTTATAGAATACTGTAGAATACATGAGTATTATTACTGAATTATTAATTTATAATAAAGTCGAAATCGTTCGTTTTTTGATATTACAATTCACGTTTAAATCGTTCCTAAATAAATTATAAAAATTATTAAATTGTATTTATTCTAAATATTGGATATATTTAATTATTTTAATACTACATCATAATCATTTATAAAACTAGGGTAGGCATAGGCGAAAACTATGCCACTGCAAAACCTGAATTTATATATACCATGGTTCTACACTAGCACGTGATTCATAATCCACTTCCTTATAATGTTCAAATAAGAAAAGTTACCCGCCCCAGACCACTTGTTGAAATTAATAAGTGTGAATTAATTCTCAATGAATCTCTCGCGATGAGACAATCTAGCACTTTCACAGCTTTGTCTGAATCAAGCACCTATTATTGCTACACATGCAATGATATATTATGTTTACATTTATCGTGATCCTGGCATTTATTAACATCTAGAAAAAATTAAATTATCAAGTAATTTATAGTATATAAATTAGATGTACTTGAAAAATTATCTTCTTAAGTATGAATATAGTCCATTATATGGTATACTAATGTGTAACTATAAATAGGCACGGATAAAATGTAAATTTTATCACCAAAAAATAAAGAAGTCAATCGTTAAATTATACTAAAATCCAATTTTACTAGTTCTATATATTTATCTAGTTTAATATAAATTAATCATAATATTATTAACTAATTTAATTATTTTCATTGTCATAAATTATGATTATTTTGATATTTTCATATTTTATATAATACATAGTTATTGTTTATGAAAATTGTTATATAATTAATTAAATCTATAATTTCTTATAATTTTAAGGATTATCTAAATTTTAAAATTAAATAATATAGTATATAATCGATATATGGTAATTATATAAATATCTTGTATTATAGATATTATATTTTAATAATAGCTTATACTTATTTTTATTCAAGGAAATTGTAGTATTAAAATTTAGACTTACATTAATACATTCAAAATCAATAAGTTAAGATTATCTACTGCAATGATAATATCTTGTTTATATTTTAACATGACAAGAATTTCCTTCAATTTTTCAATTATCTTAATTTTAATTACATCTTGTATATATTTAAAAATGAATAATAATTAATTGGAATAAAATAATCTTTCTTTCTAGAAAATAGTTTATATCCTATCTTTCTTTTTTTGCTAAAAAAACTTCTGCTTTTAATCATATTCGTCAGATCCATTATATTAAAATATATTTTGATCATATATATTGATTCATTTTTTAAATATATTCAATATATATTTTAATTAATTATTATTATATAGTTATATAATATATTTGTACTTAAAAAAATAAAATTATTAGAAATAATTATTATTATAAATTAACAAAAGGGTTTAAAATAATGTGCAAAAATATATTTTCTATGTATTTATTCATTTAATCTGATTTATATTAATGTGACTGTGAAATATTAAAAAACCATAAAATATTTATAAATTATTTATATTTTATTTCGAACCTCAATTCTTCCATAGTGTCTAAATCCCATAGTATTATTTTTTCATCATCTCCAGCAGTTGCTATTTTTGTTCCATCTGGTGACCATCGACACACACGAACTGCTAAACTAGAATTTACGAATGATGCTCTTGCTTGATTGCCAGTCTAAAATTTATTTAAAAATTTCTTTAATAAATAATAGTCTAAATATATATTATTATTCTAAGTATGGTACAATGGTATGTATGTTTAAAGCTTATTCAATTAATTAAATAAATATAGGACATTGTTGCTTTAAAATTCATAACCTTATTTTATTTATGAAATTTAGAATTATAAATTAACTTCTTAATAAATTCCATTTCAATTTAGATTTACATAGTTATTTATATTTGAAAGTTTGATGTTTATATTAACACAAACAGACAAACACACGCGCGCGCGCGCACACACACACATTTGTGAAATACAATCAATATTACAATCAATAATCAAAATATTGCAAAATAAAAATATTTTATAAAATCAAATCAACTACCTCTACATCCCAAATAATAGTAGTACCATCCATTGAGCAAGAAGCAAGTTTTGTACCGCATGGACTGTACTCGACGTAATTAACACTATACTTATGTCCGGCAAGTGGATTATAATTCATTTCTTGAAAAATTGATGTTTCATCGTTTTCATCATATTTGACATTCCAAATTCTCACAAATTTATCTCTGTCGATATTTTTCTTTTGTATTATAGAATGTTAATCATATAAATAAAATTTCATAAAAATCGCGTTAATTTCCATAAGGTATTTCAAATTATATAATCAATTTTAAATATAATAATGCCTTTTACTTCTCACTTTCATTGCCTACTTTAAAAAATTCTAGTTCATTTTTTTGTACTACTGTATTAAAAAAATTTTAATTAATTTTAATTCAAAATTATAATTAAATATTCATTTTAGAAATCATATCACTCTATCGTTCTAAAATTAATATACTATAATTGTATTCAAATATTTAAAATACATTTACAAATTTGAATATTTATAATCGAAAAATTTACCAATTCAAAGAAAATATGACACACACCTTGAGCCAGAAGCAATCAAACAGTTGCCAAAAATCGCTACTGAATTAATAGCCCCTTTGTGATCATTCAATCGTTGCACAAGTATAACTTCATTATTATTCGTTTCTGCATGCTTTACTACATCAGTTTCTTGAATCAACGTCTAAATGTAGAATATAGTTATACGCGTGGACACACACATACACTCACATAATGTTGATATGCATTCAATTTTATTATATAATATAATACAATACATATAATATATAGAATAAATATTTATTTAAAATATATTTTTAATATTTGTAGAATTGTAATATTATTGTTTAACACAATTTTGTATACATATACTATGATGTATGTATATTTACTTAATTGGACTTGATAATTTGGTTACCATATATTTACTTAATTTTTTATTAATATAATTTAATATTATTTATTTATTATTATTTTATATGCTTATTTTCTTATATTACCTTACATTACATATTTTAAATATTATTATTATGTCTACAATTTTTTCAAATAATGTTATTGTATAATAGATCAAATTTACTTAATTTTTATATTTATTAGATATACTTATATTTTAATAAATATGTATGTATTTATTTTTGATTTATAAAACAATAAATATTTAAATTATATACTAAATATTAAATTTATATAATCACTCACTTTTTTATCCTTACTCTTATTTTGTAACATTACTGAATTATGACAAATAAGTTCAGAGTTCAAGTTCAAATTTCCAATTAAATCCCAAATAATTACGCGTTTATCATTAGACCCTAAAATATTTAATAAATTAATAATGTTCAGCACAATGCTATTTCCATATTTATTACCTGTAGCTAATAAATTTCCATTTTTTGAAAAAGCACAGCAAGCTACGTATCGACAATGTCCAGTAAGAACCGTAACTACTCGTCCAGTATTCTAACATTCCAAAAAATAGAAATATTACATTTCAATTTTATTTATACTTTCTTAACATATGCCTTTATTTTGTTGTTATTATAAAAGTTTATGGTACTTGAATGGATATTGCTGCACCTCTACGATAATTCCTAATTTACTATAATACTAATAATTAATAATCTTTTATAACAATTAAAAAATAATTATATAAAAGATGTATATTTAGACTAACACTGAATAATTTTTTACTTATATTTCTGCGTTTACGTATTTAAATTTTTTTCACGTTTTCTTTGAAAATAAATATTTAAGGTATTAATTATGAATTTTACAAATAATACTTAATATGGATAAATAGATAATATCTTACAAATTAAATTATAACAGTAAAGGAGACAAATATACTAATATGATGCCATAGCGTTCGTTTTATGCTCTCCAAATTTTTGATAAGTGTAAACAGGCATTGTACAGAATATAATAATTCTATATGCTTCTGAGGGCACATAATATAGTTTATACCGAATTAAGTCTATATATTGACCATTGAATTTTGTAGTATTTTGCGTTCCAAAACAATAAAAACATTTTATTCTTATTAATAATATTGATATCTTACCGTTTCCCAAATAATGATAGATTTGTCAAGACCAGTGCTAGCAGTATACAATCCATTAGAGCTAAATCGAACACAAGTTAAGGCACAACTGTGTTTATCCATAATCCTGCAGAGCTCGATCGTTGCAGACACGGAATAGCATTCACATTTTGTCTTTGTCACTTTTACTGCCCATAACTTCACATGATTGTCGTTTCCACAAGTAACAAGATGATATAATTTGATAAATGGCTCGTTATCTTAAAAGCCAAATATGTATATATGTTAAAAAATCATTAAATATATACTACAATGAAACATTCCCAACATATTAAAAAATTACTTATAAGCATGTATTATTCTACAAATAGAATATACTTATTATTTTCATGATATAAATAAACATATGATTGAGTTTCATAATGCAAAGATTAGAAAATGTAATATATATTTGAACTTGTAATTTTTATTAATAAATATTTTGTTCTAAAAATTTATTTGTAATCTGAAATTACATATTTAAAAAATGCATATAAAAAACGAAATGTTAATACCTTGTCATTAAAAAAAACTGCATCATTAATTACCATTATTATAATTAAAAAATTTAAATAATTGCAAAATTCATTAAATAATAAAATATTGATATTTATTTTTAATAAATATAATAACGTTAATAAACTCATTTGATATAAACTATGTATAAATTAAACTAAACTTATCAACTATTATTTAAAAATTGTGATTGGCAAGTAGTTGATGCATTTACATAATCAAGAGTATAGAATAATATAATTTAAAAATATTTTAAAAAGATGGATAATTTAAGACATACTATCTTTTATGTTGAATAAAAAGGGATGACTACGTTACAGTTTTGCTTTTCTGTTAAATATTATAGTAAAAAATTTTCATACCGACATAAATCATTTTTAAGACATACGAATGAACATATTGATATTTTCAATAATAAAGATAACATTAAATGAATTTCGATTTTGCGATTAGAGATCTCATATCTCATATCTACGATACGAGAGATAGAACTAGTGTAGTAATAATAAGTACAAACTACCTATATTTATTAAATTATATTTCTGATTTTATACATTAAATTAATTTGAAAATGTTTTCATTTACTATCAAATGAAATAGATGCTTCGTTTTGGAATGAGTTATAAGTATTAATTTTAATATAAAAATTATGTATAATTATTAGAATTATATAATAATATTTAAATTTTAAATATTTAGAATGAACGTAAGTATTATCATGTTTACATTTTCAATTTAATATTAAACAATAATTACACATTATTATATATGTTTAATAATATTCATATTACTAAGTATAATCACAAACTATCCTTGAATATTTCAAATATATACCGTAATTATGGTATATATACACCGTCGATCAATAATCCATTCATATATATACAAATTGGATAAGGAATGGTCTGTGTGTATTAAAAATATATACGCGTATATGTATATGCGTGAAACAAAGAATATCGAATAAATAAACACAATATGTGTAATTGATGATAAATATGTATTAATTATGGAAGAAGAGTAAGTCTGCAGATATCTGCGCGAAAATGTGTAAATCTTAAGTGCGTTTAATTTACAACAGTAAGCACGATATATAATTAAAAAATTTGATGTGAATAAACAGGCGAGTGCTCCAAATGCGAACTTAGGATCAAAAGCCTAAATAAGTTCAATCTTTTGAGGCATGTACACCTCAGATTTAATTATTTTTAATAATACACTCTAGATAAAATTTATTAAAATATAGTTAATCGTTTATAAAAATATTAATCACATTGATATTTTAATAAAAACATATACATTAGTGTTCGGGATTGAAGCCAGTTCCAAGACCGCCGATTGTTAGCATCGCCGGCCTTTTAGGTCTCAGATTTCTGTAAACATCTTGGACGAGAATTTTTGTATACTTATCATGTTTTGGTTTCAAATGGCTCGCAATGTTTATATGGTCTTCGGGTAATAACATTGCCCGGAATTCTCTAACGTTATTATACCTTATTTATTCTTTCGTCGAATTCTCGAAACTTCTAGATTTTTCTTTCTGCGCCTCATATAATATTCCAGTGCAGCAACGACGATTCTTTGTTGCCAGCTAAGTGAGCCGCCGCGTGTATATATAAGGCAAGCACGTGGCGTTCCTCGCTCTCTTGCTGAAGTTCCCTCATACTGAACTGCGCTTGCTGCAAACATCTTGCCGTGACCTGACTGCAGTGAACCACCACAGTGAACCGATCTAACCCTCTACCAGTAGAAGCTATGACACGGGTCTCAGTCTGCCCTTAGCAGGACCGCTATGGAACAGTAGGTATTTTCAGCAGAGCCGCTACGGAACGATCAAGCCTTCGGTTTCATGCGCGTATTCAAAAGGCTTATAGGCTCATTGTAATTCTACCTCGCGTCCACTGAACTGTAATTACCACTCAGTGTTTTAGTATATTATGTGACGACTACACGTGGCCGCATGTTCGGCAATAAATGTAAGAATACACGTGCATTATTGAAAAGAATCAGCAAGATCAGGTAATGATTTTAGTGTGAAGCCAATTGGAATCCTAATAAAAAAGGGGCACACCAGCCACGCAGTAAATCAACATACCTCGTCGGTAGTATACAGGGTACATTTCTTTATATTATTTTAAATAAGCTAGTCGCACACGAGCAAATCAAGTTTCATAAAATTTCTCTTCAAACAGTCGATAAGTGATAGAGTACGCTCTCTCGAACTAATACTTCGACATTGTGCAGTCCCTCAAGCAGTCAACACAAGTGACGCAACAATTACATTGTCAAATCCAAACAACAATTTATAGAATAATCGACAATAAATACATTTCATCAAGTCCTTTAGAGCTCGAAGGCTTGTCATTTATGACTCTTGCGTGTGACTAGTTTTCAACTGCTCCCAACGTAACTAATGACATAATTGATTACGTAGCAATTTCCATCAAGACTTTTTATACTCTATCAAGTATGATCATTCTTTCTATCAAGCATACTTGATTCTAACACCATCTTCTCATGCTCATTCATGAGCATGATCGACTACACATGATGATCCTTACAACATCAGCATAAAACTGACATTCAAGATCCATTGTAATCTCCATAGCCTTAGCGACATCACCTTGAAGAAGCAACCTCGCCACAGCAATAGAATATTTTCCCTTCTCTCACCTGAAGCAATCAAACTGCAATATTATAATAATTGACAAAAAGAATAAACGATATCTTAAAACAATAATAATACACTATACTTAATGTCAGCCCTTTCACCTGTTATTTCTTCATCAGTTATCATGACTTGAGACTAATCCACTGAACTATTGAATTGGCAGTTCGAGCCATAAAACAAACCCTTAATAATCGAACAATTACATGAATAAAACTATTATCTATATTAAACGGTGAAATTTTCATATTATTTTAATGATATATATAATTAAAAATAAGAAAAAGATTTTAAATACGCTATTATTCATAAATAAAATATATTTTAAAAATGTTATTCAAATAATAACCATCGTTGCTGGTACTCACTAAAGAATACGCAATTTAATTAAAAAAATTATAAGTATTCCAAATTAATGTGGTTATCATCCAATTTTAATATTTATTCTATATATTCCATTAAGACATGATTGTCAAATAATTTTTTTAATTAAAAAAGTCATTTAAATAAACTAAATCTATTCAAAAACAAGAATTTTCATTTTATATCTCGAATAAATGAATAAAATATACATTTTGGCAATAAAAATTGCCAATAAATCTAATAAGTTGTTTTGTTGTTGTTATGTAAAAGTATTATTTAAATATACATATTATAAATATTTTTCGGTTGCAGTAATAGACACGCATTTGTTATCTATATTGTGATTGAAACTAAAAAAAAAAAACTAGTACTAGGGAAAGGAAACCATTTACCCATTTACCTATTGAATCAGTTTTTAACAAATTTGTTTAAATGTATGTTAATATATGACGTACCAATATATAAATATTTATAATTAAATGTAAATAAATATAATATAGTATAAATAAAATTAAGAAAAATATTAACAAAAATAAAATAAAACAATATATGCATAAATAATAAACTAAATAATATATTTATAAATAAATTAAGTCATTATTCTCAGTTTTATGGAAAAATTAAGATAATTGGTTACAAGTTTACAGAAGCAAAATGAAATAAAATTTAAAACGTTGACGAATGAAATAGCTTACAAGTGTATCGAAATTATATAAAAACAAAATATATTGTAAGTGTATATATATCAGTATATGCTGCTACAGAACATTAAAAATAAAAATATAATAAAAATAAATGGTATGATTTATTTTAAGAAAAATTATTTCTAATCTGCGTAAATTCGACACATAAACAACGCAAAATATACAGTAGATTTAATACAAATAAATGATATATTTTTATTTTTAACTACATATGTTATTTTAAGTCAACATAACATCTTTATAAAGAAAAAATTTATTGTATATAAATACATATAATTGTATATATATACATATAATTCATTAAAAACACATTATAATAACGGATGGTAAAAAATACACAAAACGATAAAAATGTACCATAGTTAAATATAATAAGAATTTGAGAATGTAAGTTAAATGCATAATGACTAAATGAACGATCTTAAAATGAGAAATTATAGGAATATGTCACAACTCAACAATTCACAATGAAACAAACTAATGTATAGATGTATTCTAACGAAATTTTTATAAAATGGTGACTTTAAATTATAAAAAAAAACTGTGAACTATATGTATTATGATATTCTTGATTTAAGATGATTTAGAAAATCAGAACATACATATATTGGTCAATTTTTCGTACTCTTACAGTAGTTTAAAGCAATGTACTTAATTTCTTTTAGTAAATTGTATAAATGTATATGTATTTGATATATGTAAGTATAAGTTTGATTTTATATCATCTATTAGAAAACATATTTTCATTATATAACTATGTGTGTAACAAATTATTAAATTTATTAGTAAAAAATCTAATGGGCAATTTTTGAATATTTACGTATTATAAGAAAAATAAGAAACACTGTGTTTCTTACTATTCAAATAAATACTGCCTTAGAAACTATTAAACATACTGGTTACTTCTTGAATGGAAGAAAAATCACAGCAAACAACACCGAGATCATGAGCATCATCAACTTGTGCAAATATATTTATATCTTGATGATGCGATGGACAAATATTAAGTATTTCATTACAGTAGAATAATTGAAGAACACCAAGTGTACAAGAGGTTAGAAGCCAGCTAGAGTCAGGAGTGAAACTTAAGCTTTGTATTGCTCCTTCATGTTTTTGAAATCTTCTATATGATATCAAAAGAAAATAGTATCATTTATTAATTCACAATTTGATTTATTCGATATACCTTATAGTTTCAAAAATTCAGTTTAATTGTTTAATTATTGTAACAATGTCTATATTTTTTAAGTATTTATTTTAACAAACTTTTTATATACTCTTCTGCAAATATTTATATAAAGATTGATATAATTATTTTGTTTTTATTACTTTGAAATCAGGGTAAAAAATTTATAAACTATAAGCTGCTCATGAAGCTGTTATAGTTTATAAATCACTACTAATTATAAATCTGGATTAATATTGAATATATCAAACATTGTTGAAAATTATAATAATCGTGTATATGCAGAAGTGATTTTATAATTGCAATTTTTAGTAATGATCATTCATGAAAATAAAATAAAAATTATTCTAAACTTATTATAAATTCATTTAAATACTATAAACAATAGAATAGTATCTTAAGCCTTATAAAAAACAAAAATTAAATCAGATTTATATATACCTTATTAAGATTCGTCTGATTAAATCCCACAAACATACTTGTCCATTATCCCCTGCAGTAACTAAAAGTGATGAATCTGGTGAAAATCTACAAACTCTAACGGCTTCACCACCTGTTTGTACCATTGTATGGATTTTTGAACCTGACTGCAAAGTAATATATATTACATATTATAAAATATATAAAAATACTAAAAATGTATTCAAAATAGTTTGAAATTTATAATTTAAAAAAATTTAAATTATTAAAATTATATTAATAGTATTTTGTTTTATATATAATAATTTTAACATTTTTAACCTTAGGCTAAATAAATTATATTAATTAAAAATAATACATTTCCACTTACAAAATATATGAAATAATATGTATTACTTAGTAAGTTGTTTATGTTTTGCAAAATATACAATATTTTTATACATAAGACAAATTTTATATTTAAAATATATTTTATTTCTGTAAAATACAAGAATGACCAAATGTATAAATTTTAGAACTTTTCTTTATAATATACTAACTCTTAAATTCCATAATTGTGTGGTTCCGTCAATGCTTGTTGATGCAAGCATCGTTGATTGCGGACTTACTTTAACTGATGTAATACCATACTTATGTCCTAAAAGCGGTGAAAATGAAGCTTCTATAAATCCTTTTCCTACTTCCCATTCCCAAACTCGTACTCTTTTGTCACTACAATTATTCAATAATTCTTTCACTATTAACTGATTTATATATTAAATTGATATATTTTATATATCACAGAATCAAAAATTCAATATTTCTATTTTAATAATATATATTTGGTGATTCTAGTAACTTAATCATAAGTAGATTAAAATTAATGTGAAAGAATAAAGCAAAATTACACTTTGTATTCAGATTTTTTGGATAAATTAAAATAAACAAATTGCATTATCTTTAAATTTTACTTAATTAAATTTATAAAGTGTTTTTAATTAAAAAATAAAACATCTCTGAAGCATTTAAAATAACGTTTGATGTTTTGTAATATATTTTAAAATACATATTATATCTGTACATATTTTCAATATAGTTATATATTACCATTTAATGTTCATAATTAAATTAAAATGAACTACAATTGTAATTTTTATTGTTTTTAAGTAAAAGTTTCTATAAATTATTATTTTTCATTTTGAAAGTTTTTTTAAATAGAAAATTAGGTTAAGCTGCAATTGTATTCATACATTGAATTAAAAAAGTAATTAATATACTATGTTAGTTATTAGTAAGCTTTAATAGTGATCATACAATTTATTACAAAAGATTATTTTAAATATCCTTATTAATAAATCTAAAATGATCTTTATAAGCAAATTTAATAAGACACTTTTAATACATATTATATTATTATTGATATAATTCATAATACAATACAAATTTTCAATAACGTTATTTTTATAATATTATTTATAATGCTCATTAGTAATAACATGCATTGTTCCATATTTTAATGGTTTTTATTTGTAATTTAAATTGAAATTTTATTTCTAAAATTATAAATAAAAAATTTAATTGAAAATATTGATACTTACCCAGATCCAGTTACTAAAACATCATCTCCCACAAAATCTACTGCATTAACATCACTGTTATAATTAATAAGAGTCTGCAGAATTTGCACATTTCTCCCAAACTTACTCATCATTAACGAATATGTAACGTGATTTTGCCTTTAAAAAGACAATATTTAATTATTTTCTGTAACTTATACTGATTTAAATAATTAACATATTGTCAAACGAAGTGTGAAAATTTAGTCTTTTATAGATATTTAAAATTTTAATAAAAAGAATATTTTAATAAAAAATAAACGATTGAAGTAATGTACTTTAATTTGACTTACAGTTCAAAATTGAATTAAAATTGATAATTATTTTTCATATAATTAGAGAATTGTAATATACATATTTATATATGTAATATAAAGAAAATACTTGTATTATCCTTATACAATTTATTTAACACACTATAAATTATTTTCGCCATATATATAATGATTAATTATAAATCTCTTGAAGCTCTTTATCTAGTTTCGATTTCAAAATACTGACAAACTTCTTCTTCACATCTGTTGAAATGACATGAATACTTTATTACTATTTTTAAGTTATTTTAAATATATCTTTTGAGATGAAAATAACTAATAAATCAATATATATATATATAAGTATTTCTAATAAACTACTTTAATTCCAAAATGCCCTTAGAAATATCGTGTTCACTGACCAGATGAAAAGAAAAACTTGCAAAAAATTATCGACGAAATTTTTAATTTACAAAGTTTTTGTTAAAAATCAAAACTGTATAATTAGTATTTGCTTTTATCGTTAAATGACTTATATTGGAATTTAGCCTTTTTATAGCATAAGTGACATAAGAAATTATTAATAAAAATTATAATTGTTCCAGAAATAAATGTATAAGCAAACTATTTACAAAACATACTTTTTGTATGAAATTACTACAAATATTACAATAAAATTAAAAAAAAAATTATGTTTCTAGAAAAAACATCGTAAAACGATAATCCAAATTACGGGGCCGAATATCTTTAATTATTGAATCATAAAGTTGGCGAAAATTAAAAAATTTAATAATCGTTTATATAAGAGAAGTAAGAGGCATGGAGAGAAAACTAATCTTATTTTCTCTTCTTAAGAATTATTTTTTTCTTCTTCTAAAAGTAAGATACTGTTCCTATTAATTACAACTACTAAATATTTAACTTAAAATTTTCATAAATATTTCAAAATACTACCTTTGTAAAGTTCTTATTAGATATAATATATAAGTAAATTATGTAAATATTAGAAAAACATAATACAGAATAGAGGATAGTAGATCAGTATTTCATATTGGAATGTGTGTAACTGCAACAATAAATTATTAGTAAAAGTTATTAATACTTATATAAATTATTAGTTGTTTTATGTTTCCTAGAAAATTGTAATATTATTAATTTAAAATATGAAATAATATATAATAGATAAGGATCAGAAATAATATTTATTAAATGCACATTTTGGTTACTTTAAACATAATTGTAGAAATCCTTATAGATTATTACTATCATTTTTTAATTTTTCTAACATATTCTAATTACTCATGAATCTAAAATTTCCAGAAAATTCAATTAAGTAGTGAATACAAAATTTTACAATTAAAAACTAAATGGTCATTTTCAAAATTCTATAAAATTCTTAGTATTTTTACACACTAAAAATATTTGTAATAAAATATCAAATATATTTAAAAATTACTTTAGTAATAAAAATACAATGTAAGAATGGATTAATGTACTAATTATTTATTTGTACAATAAAACGGAAAGAATTGTTTGCAATAATATATAATATACAACAAATTTTACAGATACTGATATAAAATACGTAAATGTAAAAAATTGATATTAATTATTATATCTATTAATTGTGTATCTGCCAAACAAATCGATTATTTTATTTAGTTATACCATTAATTTTCATAGAATTTTGTTATGTTAATATTATGTTATGTAGTTCTATTAATACGAATAAAATATTTTGTATTTTTTAAATTTTATATTGCAAAGCAATTTAAAATTAAAGTAACAAATTATTCATGCATGCATTTAGTTTTAAAGAAAGTATTATGTAATAAATACAGTTATTAAATTTAAAATCAAATAAATTAACTATGGTTTATATTGTAATAGCCATACTTTGGTTCATGTTACATAAATGTTTGTTTAATATAAATATGATTTAAAATAGAAATATTTTCGTTATTTATAAAATATTTTATTTTATAAATATATATTTAAATATTGATAGTTTACTCATTCAAATAAGATTTTTATATCCACTACTTAATTTAGAAGAATATATGAAGACAATTCAAATATATTTTACAATGTACTTACAATGTAAGCACATTATAGTTACTATAGTTATTATTCTCTACTTTAGCTACAAAATGTCTTACATTAATAATTTTATTAGACATTTGATTAATCTTGTTTTATTAATTTCTTTTGTATGATTGAATATTGATTTATATTGAACTACTAAATAATGTGTATATATTTAGTTGATACAAAATAGCTGATTAATTGACTGTAAATATTATCAATACCATATCGTAACTTGAATGTATTATAACAAGAATTTCATCAGATTAATAGTAGAAATGATAATAGTATAGCATACCACAAAATTATTTTATAAAAAAAATACTTATAGAATGAACTCATTTATTCAACAAATTATATATTTTCATAAATAAATATTAAATAAATTTCATTAAATTTAAATAAAATGTTTAATTTAATAAATTTTTTATTTCGATAAATATTTGAGAAAATTTAAAATTATAATTATAATTCATATTTGCTATAATACATCTCAAAAAGCTAATACATTCTTAAAATCATGAGTGAATATGTATTTTCTGTTTAAAATAAAAAATTGTTGTATATAATTCAATATATTGTAAAATCTTGTTTAAAAATAATAACCTTCATTTTTTATATCAAAACTTCATACATTTTTGCATTTAGGTTTTTTTTTATTTTTATATTTAATTAATTAGAATAAGTAATATACAAGTTCCTTAATTTTAAAAATATATTTAAAATTTGTCAGTACATATATTTCTGCAGTATTCAAAATAATGTTTGATTATCATTGTTTTTAATTTTGTTTGTATTATGTAGTTGTATTAATAGATTTGGTAGTTTCATTATACTTTTATTATGCTTTTTTTTTAATATCATTTTTTATGAAAAAAATACAAAATAAATAATAAATATTCAATTAGAACATGAAATTTTAAATTGTAAGAAAATGTTATTCTTTTGCAAGATTTTAATTATACAAGTTAAATTTTAATTTTAGAGTATCTACAAATTTAACACAAAATATTTATTTATGTTTAATGACAAACTATATTAATTTGATATGTAAAATGTTTGTAAAATAATAACCAATATTAGCTTATACCAACAGATATTATAAGATAATACATAATTAAAGCGAATAATACAATGTCATTTGTATTCTTTAATTTTCCATATTTTTATTAGATAATGTAAATAAAAAATGTTAAATACAAATTTCAATAATAAAACCTATTGATTAAATATTTAAATTAATAAAATGATACACAAAATACTTTGTTTCACCAAGATACGTTTTCAATTCGTTCAAATAGCATTACTTAAATAGTATTTATAAATGTTATCCAGTAGTCTATAGTAAATATAAAAATCACAAAAAAGAATTACTTTGTAGTTGATTGGCTTCTCGAAAAGTACTACTGACAAAAACGAATGCAAACGGATTCACTTAAAAATGCAAATCTAAAAAAAACGAACATATATATTAATCGATTAAGCACAGCTGCCGAAACACTGAGTTGATGGCTAGGTTTTTTCATACAGTTTTTTTAAGTTTCCAAGTTTGCAATTAAATACGCATGCGCAGCTTATTAAGAAATTAAGTAGTCAGTTATCAAACTAAGTCAATATTAAATAATTAATATCAACTATAACAGAATATTATATTTTTCATCTTTCTTTAGCTGCTTTAATTTTCTCTCTATAATTAACCAAATAATTATAGTGTTCAAAAGAGTAATCGTGCGACATAGTCTAAATTATATGAGGATGAGCAATAGTATACTGCAATTATCCAAAAAATGGGATGAAGCTTCAGTATATTTAGATTTTATATATTTTACTGTATTGACATAAATAATGCTTAATTACTGTCAACTTTATAATAAAATAATTCCTGAAGTATGTCTGAAAAAATGGAAATCGAATATACGTGAAACTAATAAAAGAATCTATAGAAAATAATAAATGTGAATAATAATTATGAACAGAATGATTTGTATTTGGTTAAAATATAATAACATCCTGCGCTCAAAGATTGTTACAAATAACGATATTATAATAATAACAATAAAATACTATAACTTTATAAATATATATTAAAATGATATTTTGTTTAATTAGAGAACAAATTTCTCTATCGTCAAAAATAATTTAATGTAAAAAAAATAAAAAATTTAGTTAAAATGAATATTACAACAAAATTAATACATTGCAACTTTAATTAAATTTCCATTTAGTAAATAAAAACATTCAATTTTAATTAATTTAATTTAATTTAATACAAAAGCTGAGATTGCCATAAGATTTATGTTTTTCAATATTTCATTTTTAAAAATCATTGTTTTCAAATTAAATAAAAATAGAGTAATTTGGTTCAAATGAAATATAGTAACATATATAGGAGTTATATTAATAATAGATGTTTTTCAAATTGTAATATTAAAATTAAAATTAAAAAAGTAATAGAAATTACGATTTAGAATGACAAATTAAAAAAAAATTTTATCGTTTAAAGTTTGTTTTAATCTATATAATACTACAAAGTCTATAATTTGTGCATCAGGTACTTAAATCTCTTTTTTACCATTATAGTTATTAATATATATTGACTAATTTTAGAACTATTCTTTTACCATTGAGTGAAAAATATAAAAAAAACAACTATTATATGTCTCTATTCTTTAGTTTTTCAAAACATAGCGCGTTTTAATAAACTCGGAAAATACGGATTTTTAACCGTTCCCTACATCAAATTATAATTGGCGAACAGTTTACAACCATCATTTCGTTATGTAATAAATGTTATCTATTTCAAATATTATTTATTATTCAGAGTTAAAATATGTGTGCATCAATTTTATTATGCAGAAACTATATAATTTCAGTAAATAGTAAACTGATTTATTTTGATCGGGTGTGTATTTGATAATTGAATTATAGATATTTAAATATTCATACAATATCTTAATTTGTTTTTAAATCATTAAAAAAAAGTGAATAGTAATGTTTTTTAATAAATAGAATGTGGAAATTAAAGGAAATATTTTGTGCAGTTTTTAAAATTATAGAAAATTGGTTGCAGAAATCACAGGACAAATTTCGTATCTCTTGTTTAATGCAAAGAAACATAATTGCTCATACAAGCAAAAACGAACCCTACAAATGTTTTCTTTGACTCCAATAACTATAAAAATAAAATAAAAATTTATCAATATTTACAACTAAATGTTATTATTTGATGAGAGTAAATATAAAGTAAGCCTGCATAGAAAGAATAAATAGATATTTAAACGAATGCCACTGGGCGTGAAACCCGAGTGCGTAAAATGTGGCAGCAAGGAGACCCCGTTGTGGCATACAACGGCGGTCGGTAACGTATGTAATTATTGTCTTGAAAACAAGCAGTCAAATATATCTGAACAACGAAACAATAATAATAATGACGATAACCAACAACTGGAGAAGTTGGTAAAGCCTGCACGCAAAAGTACACGCGTTACCAGATACAATGGCAAGGTTAATAAGACTCTTAGTCAACCACACAATGTTAAGAATATACTTAAGGGAAAAGGTCGCAGACACATATTTAAAAAGATGGTATTAATTGATCTGTTTAATTTAATTATTTACATATTATTTTTAAATTAACTTTTAATTTATTCATAACATTTCTAACTGCAATAGCAAAGAATCAGAATACATAATACATTAAAAAAAATTAAAGAAACAAAAATAAAATTATATATTTTGATTTGCTGATAAACTCAATTTAAATGTCAAATTAATATTAAAGAATATAATAATATAATGAATGATATTTTGTACAACTATAAATTAATATTATTTTAAAATATTCCTTATAAAATTGAATAATAAATACGTTACCTTGAATTGTTATTATAAATTTTATTAATATTAACTAATAAAGTATCTGTATCTTACAATTAATAAATGATAAATTAATTATATAATATTGAATATTACCATGTTATAATACTTAATATTATTTAAATATGAATAAACAAAATTTTAATTATTTTTTATAAAATTTATTTATTATGTAAGTTAATGCAATAATTTCTTACTACATATTTTAGCCAATAAAATCTCCATTAGCCACAGCAACACCAGTGACTACTAGTTATGTTTTTTATAAAGGCTCTTATTTTCAAATTGGTGATATAGTATCAATGCAAGATATTGATGGAGGTATATATTATGCTCAAATTCGTGGTTTACTTACCGATCAATATTGTGAAAAAAGTGCAGCAATTACATGGCTCTTACCTACTGCAACTAGGTAACAAAATATTTGTTTAAAATAAAAGTATTTGCAGAGGAATTTTCTTCAATTTATTATTGAAGTAAAAACAATTATTCGAATATAAAAGAATAAATATACAATTAAAAAATAAAAATAATTCATAAAAGAATATCAGAACTTTAGTGTATAAAAATAATAATTAAACTTTAATGCAATTAAATTAAAAATATTTAAGTATGTATTTAGTTTTACCATATATGTAATATATATTTATATTTATTATATTTGATATATATTTTTTATTATATTTTGATATATATTTATTATATATATTTTTTACTTTTTTTATTGACTGGTATTGCAGCCCACCTCCAGAAGATGGATTTAGTCCAGAAACATATATCATTGGTCCAGAAGAAGATTTACCACGCAAATTGGAATACATGGAATTCGTTATGCATGCACCATCAGATTATTATAAATTAAAAAACAGCCCTTACCCTCCCATACTCACCGAAGGAGGAACAGGCTATATTTGGACATCACTTAGAAATGAAACTAATGTGAAAAAATAATTCCAGTGATGTTTAATTTTGTAAATGTCGATTTTAAAGTGTATGCAAGCAATAGTCTGTGATCTTAACATAACTGTATTAGCATTAGTAATTGTTTACCATTTCGTTTTAGATATTTGAAAAAATGTCATCAAAAAGAATATTAATATAAATACTAATATGGATTAGCTAATACTTGTTCAAGCTATTTTTATTCAGATTAAATGTTTAAGTTATAAAATATAATTTATTAAGTATAAAATGCTTAATAAGCTTTAATATTTTATATAAAATGAAAATTGTAATTATATAAATAAAATATAGTGAATAATATATTTTATGTAGAGGTATTTTGGAATATTCAAAATATTTTAATCTTAGTTTACTGTATGCATCAATAAAATTAATGGTTATTTTTATTTAATACTATATACACAACCTCGTATATTACATTTTTTAAATTGTATTTTAAAAATCTACATTAATCATATTAAAAAACATTATTTTAGCGAATTTTCTTACAAATTTTTTTACTCCTGTGTAATACATTATAATTAATTGTTTGATAAAACTAATTTTATAATATGCAATGTAAATTAGTATAATTCTGAAAATTGTTTTGAAAAATCACTTTCAATTAATTCGTTAGTTACATTAAGAGATTAAATATTAGTGATAATAGAAAATTATATATAACAAAACATTTAATATAATGGTATAAAAATTGAATATAAGTACACTTTCATTAACTCTGAAAGGAAAATATGTTTAGTACGTAACACTGGTTAAAATTTCAGATCTTTAATTGCTTGTGGTAAGTCCGGTAGTTTTATATCTTTGATTTGCTGTGGTATATTCATATTTTTTACAGCTGATACTGCACGTGCTGGAGCTGCTATAATTCCAGCCTGAATACATATTTACATAAAATAATTTAAAAAAATAGATGTACTAAAAACATTTTAGTATTTTTTATTAAATTTTATGATATTTTATTGAGTTTCCATATATTTGTTAATTAATTTTTTATATTAAAAGAAGTTGTATTTAGTAAAATGTAAACTTATATAAATTTATCATATAATCAATTATAAAACAGAAAAGTTATAATGTTTATGATCAGCAAATGTAAATTGAAAAATTAATTTGATTTATTTTTATCACACATAACATTAATTATTGAGTAAATCTCAATTAGACTGAATGTTTTTGAGTGTTCAGTTTTTATTTTTAATGAAAACACTCACTAATTTTAGAAGGTTTTACTGCTGTCATACATATAAGTAATATGAAAAATATATACTTTAAAGAATATTAAAAATTAAAATAATTTTATATAAAATAAAAAGTTAAAACACTGATATGAATTTAAAAGTTAATAAATAATGAGAAAATTCTATAAGAAGAAGTCAGTAAAAATTTATAATTTGGAATTTGGAAGATATTAATAAAATATTAAACTTGAAAGGAGTGATCAATTTTTTAAAAATAGGTTATTAATTTAATCTTTTTTTCAAATTAATCTTAGTGTATATTAATACAATTAAATAAATAAAATATAATTTAAAGTCTTTTACCTCTTGCTTTTCTAATTTATTTTGATCTTCAATTCTTATTAAAATTTCATTCATATTTGTTTCTAATACCATGCCTCCCATTACCAATTCATTTAAAATATAATGAACCTTGTCAACATGAAAAATAAGATCTAACTCACATACATTTCCAAAACACTTATCTAATGTTTCAACAAAAACTTGAATTAAATCTAAAATACCAAGTTCAGATTCTGAACTATCTACACAAAAAACGAAATATAGTGTTGCATAATGACGATAAATTAATTTATAATCCGAGCCTCCAATTAAACTACCACCTTCCAAAAAGTTACAAACATTATCATCTCTTTTTGAAACTAAATGAAATGTCTCCTTTATTATTTGCTGTTGCATGTCTTCATTCTAAAATTAAAATTTGAATTAAAAATATATTAATATATAAAATAGTTAAAAATAAATTTTTAGTTATAATTTACATACAAAATAGTGATAAAATTTAGATAGTCGTGGTTTTCCATGATTGTTAAACACCAAAATAGCTTTGATCATTTTAAAAAATACTGTTAAAAAATCAAATTAAATTAAAGAAATGGAAATAGTTTTATGACAATAGAAATTCTAATAATATTGTCTATTGTATTGTAACAGAAATACTTAGTTCTTAATATATTTTCATTTACTAAATTATTAAACTTAATACACAAAAATATTCTAAAAAAGAACTTAAATTATTTAATTTGATTTTGAATTACCGCTTCCACTTTAGTTATGTATCATATTGATAATCTAATTAATTTTACATTGTAACATGTTTTTGATAATATTTTTACAATTGAGTATTTATAATTTCGAATTAAAATTGACAGAATATCATTGTTGATGATTCTTAAAATCAATATTAAAGCGTACTACATGAAACCTTAAATTTCTAATTACACATAGATATGTTAATTCATAAACATTCAGAAGTAAATAATAATGACCCGTTCACTTAAGAAAAGCGCAAATAGTTAATAAATTAAGACGCAATATGTTTAATTTAAAATTTGTGTTTTATAATATACATGTTAAAAGATATGATTAGATTTTCTTATTCACCTTCTTAAAATTAATAAATAAAATAAAAAGATAACACGTTATGGATAGAGAACTTTATATTCGTCCCAACTCCGATGAATTAAAATTACGCATTGTCAGAAATTAATGCTCTACCAAATATGAACTTAATAGGTAAAATTAAGAACTTACATTATTGATAATAATTTATATTATCATTAATAAAGTATATTTTATTTAAGCTTTATTGCTAAAGCTCATACTATTATAATTATCAATATAGATATAGCGTTCTATATTTTTTATTCGGTTCATGTTGATAGGCCATCGGACATTTGTATTATTTTAAATCATGATGTGCCCCAGAGCATATGACGATTATTAAGATATGAATGTGTATTTTTATATAGTAAAAAATGTCAAAACAATTCTTTATAAAAAACAAATTTTTGAAAATCTATCTTTATTTAATTAACTACAATTATATCTGTATAATTAAAACCTTTTTAATTGAAATAATCTAAAATATTTGTTATGTTTAAATAAATTTGTAAACTTGTATATTCAATGTTTAATAAAAAAACATATTTAAAGCATGCCTTATCCAACTATGTGTATAATATGTAAGTATAACAAATAAGTATAAATAAAAATATATTAATAAGGATAATAAATAAATAAATATATATTATTGCAATGCAACACTTAAACGCTTATTTTTATACTATGAATATGTTTATTTATATTTATACATAGAACAAAGCAGAAATTGAATCATGGATTAGTAAAAACGTATTTAAAACAAAGTATTTAAATGCAATTACAAGTTGAGAACATCAGCTAACGCAATTGTTTCAGCAAATATTAGAAAATTATAATGCTCGTATTTATCAATAATATAATGGTTAATTATTCGATTTCAGTCTGGTCGTATTTAATTATATTTTAATATTAATGTTGACACGAACATTAACATTACCGAAAGGTAGGTACGCATGCGCATGCATTTGCAAACGTACAGGATACAATAAACAATAGCAATATTATACTGGTATAGTCATTTTATAAAAAATTAAAATATAAATGCAATTCGAATAAACGTGAATAAATGTTTTTTTCAATGAATATGGAATATTCATTCCATAAATATTCTCAAAATCTCTGAGTTATGGTTAGTTTTTTTTGTTTTTTTTTTATTCTCTTACTTCATTAAATAAATATTATGCATTTACTCATAGATATTTACTATTATAAGAAGCTCGAATTTATAATTTTATTGAAATTAAAGAATTTATTATATTTATTCCAGTTAATTTATATACAAATATAATAAAAAATATTGTTTTTATTCTGAATATTAACATTTATTACTGTTACTTTATAGGATTCTTTTCAAAATGAAATAAATGGAGAACTTAACAGTACAAATTGGGTTTCTTTATGTCAAAGGTGAAGTTCCTTTATATAAGTATTTATTAATTATTTTTAATATACAAAGTATATTTAATAATTGTTAACATATTTGTTTTTTTTTTTATTTTAACAGTAAAAATTTACAAAGATAAGTATGTCAATAAAATAAAACTAAATATAATGTTATAAATATGAAAAGATAACGCTTATATAATGTCAATTAAGATATATTATAGATTCCAATTTATTTTAATTATTTAGTAATAAATAATTTTTTATTAAAAATAATTTTTGTGTACTTTTATTCAATATGTTTTTTATTTTGTGTTAATTTTTATTTACATGTTTCTAGAGCTGACTATAATTTATTATATTGTATATACTTGTTTTGTATAAACAATTTCAATAAAAATATTAAAATTTTTTATTACTTAAATAATATTAATAGATTATAATATTATTTCTAAAGTATCTAAATTTAATAAGTCAATAACCATTTATATGTATATATTTTTATTTTTTCGGAAAATTAAAAAATAGGATACAATGCTATTCTAGTCTTAATTTTAAAATCAATATTACCTGTTAATCAAATGTATTATAAATACCTATATATATTTACCTTTTTTAAATTTTTGTATACAGGTTTTTAAAAAATTTCGTTTATACAATCTAGAATGGTTTTTAATAAACATTATTTTTTATTATTTTAAAAATATAATAAGAAAATATGAAATAAAATATTTTCAAAAAATGAAATTAAATCAATGAAAAATATAAATTTATGTAAAAATTTTTTAAATCTATTTCTAATAATTTTATAATTAATAATAATTAATTATCATTAAAATATTATTTTTTATATAATACTGTTATTTAATTATATATTATTATATAATTATTTTCATCATCTATTTTAAGATGGATAGGATGCGATTATTATCTATGCAGTTACCACCTAACAGCAACATTAATAGTAGTACTGGAAATACTAAAGGAAAAATATCATTCATAAAGCGTCTAGCACTTGGTTTTATAATTTTGGCAGGTCTAGGACTGCTTTATGTACCAGCATATCATTCAGCACAAGGACAATTTTCTGGTTTTGGTGATATTTCATTACCAGTAGGAACTTTGGGAGGTACAGATCTCATAGCATCTATAGGTTCGTATACAATAACTACATAAATAATATAACACTCAGTTTTTATTTGTACCAAATAATATATTATATCATATGTCAATAGTTTATTAATATAAAAGCTAATTATTTTAAGATCTAATTGAAAAATAAAATGTTTTAAGTAATTTTTAGAAATATATTAATATATGTATACAAATATATAACAATTATAATTGTTTTATAATTTATCTATGTATATAAAAATTTTAATGAAACGGTCAATCCCATATATTTATCTATATATTTATTATATACTTATGTATTTATTAAATATATACTATTAAATTTTACAAAATATCAATGAAGTAGAACAACACATTAATATAAAATCTTTTGCAAATACTTTTCTATATATTTTTATAAACAATTGGAATAAATTATATTTTTCTAATATAACTTATTTATAAAGCAAGTAAGATTTTATATTTTGTATTCATTTTGTTCAGAAGTTTTTGAGCTTATATATTTTACAAGAAAACAAATAATATTATAAGAAATGACCTGTTATATATAAAGTTTTATATTAATATTTTTATTGCTACTTTTATTTGAACCAAAGTAAAAATAAATTTAAAAAAATGTATAATTTCGGTTAGAATTGTAAAAATTAATATATATTGTGTATTACTAATATAAAATAATTTTATTTTGAATGTTTATTACAATGATAAAATTTACAGATTATAAAAGTTGAAACTATATTATATACAAAATATAATTTTTTTTTTTGCACAAACAAAATTATAGTAAAGAAATATTTGAACATTATTTGAAATTATCAGCCAAATTTTTGAATGCCCTTACATTTTTTTAACCAGTACTACAAATTGTTGAACAGGCTTTTATTTTTAAATTTTTCTTATATAGCGTAGCTGTCAGTTGATTATTGAAATATTCTTTTCTAATTAATAATTAGAATAATAATGGAACATATTTTCTACTCACTATACTAGTCTACTTGATTAGATATATTTTTATTGATAATGAAATATAAATATTTGAATAAATGTATCTTTATTTGTGTTTTATTTAAATAAATATCTAAACATGAAAAGTAAAATTACCTACATCTCTGCCAATAATATTGAAGTCATAGAATGTTGTAGACCTAACAACATTGATATAAATGTTTTAATGTATGCTATAGAATTAAGTAATTTCTTGTATTGATCCCAGATATTCATCAAAGTTGAATGAATATTTATGTTTATTTGCAGAATTCTAATCAGTAGAAGTTATATGAATGACTAACAAAATGAAAGATGATTTCACAATATATTTTTTTATATTTACTCCACTACCTATAGAAATTGATGAATAGATTACTACTTTTATGTAACAGCTATTCTTCATAAAACATCACTCCATTAACCAACTGAACCGTTAGTATTATTATATCATCAACTTATCCAGATACATACCAGATCACGCGTTATGTTTATATTGTTATGAGATGTGTGTAACAGCAATTGCTTAAATTAATTCAGGACTTTCATTACAAAAAATATATATATTTATTTATTTGACTTCGGAGTCACCTTTTTTCTCAGATCAATTAAAAAAAATAAAGTATTAAATATGATTAAAGGAATTTATCAGAAAATAATTCAAACATGAGTAAATGTTACTCTTTAAAATCAATTTAAGATCTCAGTTAATACTTCAATAAGACTTTTAATAATATAAATAAACTACTAATAATTAATTTCTTAAATATAAAAAATATACGATTATGTATTAATTTAATATACTATCAATAGTTTAAAAAAACATATAATATAAGCAATTTAAATAAAAATTTGAATAAAATTTAAAGTAAAATAATATTATTAGCAGTTCTCAATATCAATTTAATCAACTTTGTAACTGGCTTTGTATTAAATTATAGTTATTATATTTATTTTAATATAATAATTGAGAGACAAAATAAATGTTTTATTAGATTAAATTTAATATAAATTATGGATAAGATAAATATATAGTCATGTTATTATTTTTATAATTGATAGCATAGAATGTTAATTATTTTTAATTTTATTTACTTATGTATTTGTCAAATATATTAATATGTATCCATTATATATATTTATGTTGTTTTCTAATTAAATTTAATTAATATATATAATTAATAAGTAGTAAAAGATGAAATATTTACTCAATTCCTTTGGTTTCAGTTCAATTACGTGGATGGAGTTATAATACATCTCGAGATGTATCTATTTACATACATCCAGAAAACACAACAGTTATTCTAACTCCAAAAAGAATTTGTAACAATACATCATATCTAATTATTCTTATATGTTCTGCAGTCGGAAATATAAATGCAAGAATTGCTATTAGAAATACATGGGGTAATCAAAGTTATTTAGATACTTTGTATGGTTCTTCTATTAAAGTTACATTTCTTTTAGGACAAAGTGATAATGATACACTTAATGTAAGTATTTTTACTTTCACATGAATAAAAATAATACATATAAAGTTTTAACAATATATAATTGTAAAAATAAAATTTCGTATAAATTTAAAGAAAATCTGTATTGAAATAAGATATAAGAACTCTAAAATTTGTAAATTGTATAATACCCATGTTCAAATATTTATTTTATAGTTATATTGATACACATACATATGTTTTTAGAGCTATGCAGCAGATGAAAATAATTTGTACAATGACATAATTCAAGAACGTTTTTATGACACATATAATAATTTAACATTAAAATCTGTAATGTTATTAAAATGGGTGATATCGAATTGTGATAAAGTAAGGTATATTATGAAAACTGATGATGATATGTTCGTAAATATACCAACTCTTATAAAAACTTTAAGGGAACGACCCAAAAGTACTGGAACTTTAATTGGTTCACTTATTTGCAATGCGAAACCTATAACCGACCCTAAAAATAAATGGTAAGATTATAATCAAAAAATTTTGGGTTTAGTAAATCAAACTAAATTTGTTTTATTTTTACTCAAATTATAAACTTTGTAATATCTTGTAATATTATGTCATATGATTTGTATTATTTTATTCTTTAATTACTTTTTTATATCTTCTGATATAAAAATAATCTGAAGAATGTGAAATTTTATTTCTGTTTTTTATTCAGACTAATTTTGTAAACTAAATTATAGATAATTATGGTATAGCAATATGAAATTAAACCAAAAAGTTCTAATAAAAAATGTGAAAAATAATAATTACTTTATATACTGCTGTTTCAAATAACTTACTATTAATTTTATATGTATAAAAGACAATGCTTATTTTTCTATAAAAATTTCTATTATACTTCATTTATTTAGAAATTTAAATATTTTGAATATTACTTTAAAAAATTCAGTTTTATTAAAAATAATGAATAATTTATAAAAAATTCATTTGCTTTCGTAAAAGTAATTCATAAATTAAACTTGCTTGTGCATGTGGCAATAATATAATTAACATTATATACAATGTTCAACGTATAGAATGTTTCAAAGAATTTTCAAAATATTTTGAATTAACTATACATAATTTTAAATAATATATAATAAACTAATCGTTATTATTACATTTATAAATAATATAAATATATATCGTATATAAATGAGTTTTTCTGCAAACTCAAAATTAATATAAAGAAACACGTATATAACAAATATGCATTGCTAATTTCAAATAGATGAAGTATAATATTTATTAAAGTTGTAAAACAAGTTTGTACATTTATTACTTTTAGGTATACACCCAAATATATGTATTCGGACAGAACATATCCAAGCTACTTATCAGGTACAGGCTATGTAATGAGTTCGGATGTCGCTTTGCGCCTCTACAAAGCTGCACTTTCAATACCAGTTCTTCATTTAGAAGATGTCTACATCACGGGACTTTGTGCAAAAGAAGCAGGACTCAAACCTGTTAATCACCACGGTTTCAGTTATATACCACGTAATCTCGATATCTGCTCACTACGCGAGACTATCACGGCCCATAAAGTAAATGCTTCGAACATGTACACAGTGTGGAACAAACTTAAAAATTTCTCGACGAACTGCAAAAATTATATTAAAACTGCCAAAAACACGCCGGTTAGTAGAATTAGCAGAAATATTGGCTACTTTTTGCTCAAGGGTCGTATACACAATAATAGATGCATTTAAAGTTTGATAATATTTTTAAATGAATCACCTACTTACGCAGCTGTTCATTAATGGTTATGTATATATGTGTAGGAACTTTTACAAAAAAATATGTTTTATAAGAGGTTGAGTTTCATTTTATATCTAAATAATATCAATAAGTAAACACTAAACACCATTACATATTTATATAAAATATTTTTTTAAATGAAGCTAGTAATTTTGCACAAATATATTTATGATGCATCACAATGGGTTTATTAACTGAAAAATATTTAGGAATTATTTATTATACATTTTTTTAATATTTTAAAACCTTGATTAGTTAATATTAATTTCAAAGCTAAAATTAGTGTGTAGTTAATAGAATTAAATTAAAAAACCATTATCTAGTCATTACAATAACTTTTTATATGAAAAACATTATTAAGTTTATGATTACATTCTAAATTAAAAATTTATTTTGAATAATAAAATACAAAATTACATATTGTATGCTAAAATAGATAAATCTATATATTTTGAGATATAACTGAATTTAATGAATAATTCTGTAGTGTCCAAAATTAAAAAATTGAAACAATTCTGTATGTTGTATTAAAATTCTTTCAATCATCTTTAAAATTCATAATAAATAATAGTATAATTTAAATTAATAACTTTGAATTTATAACTTTAATAACACAGTAGATCTATTATTGTGATATAATTAGAAAATCAATAAGTAAAAATAGAAATAGAACTTATACACAAATAATTTGTTGAATTATGAACCTGCTTGATATATTCATAAATACTCCATATAACTGATAAGATAAAATACTGGGTCTAATACTTAATATTATTTTATAAAGTATTAGTTATATCTATATAGAATGTAAAATAGAAATTTGTAAAATGAATAAAATAGCGAAACCAAAAATTTTTAAATGGAAAATACATTAAAATTGATAAAATTTATGTAATATAATTTAGAAACTCAATTCCTTATAAGTTATTTTTATAGAAATTAAAATAATTAGAATTTTTTAAAGTGTTATTTCCCAAAACTTTTACATATATGTATAGTTTAAAAAGAATTATTTTGTTCAATTAACTACTTTCATTATTTTCAACATTAAGATAAATTGAAAGTGAATCGACATTTTTTAAATGACATTTTATGGCTTAATTTTTTTATTTCTGAAATAGATTTGATATTTCTTATATCTATTCGTTATGTAAATACTTTTTCTACTAAATTCCTAACACTTCCTAAAAGGAGGACTACCTAAATATTCCTAACACTTTTTAAAAGAAATTATTGATAAATACATCTAAAATTAGAAATACCGAATAGAATTATATTTGAATAATCTTGAGCATTATAATATTTAATATTTGTTAAGTTTTTATCAACTTAATGACCTTAAATATTTTTAAATTTAAAAAACGGAATTCGTTAAAACTATATTTTATAGGAATTAAAATTTTAGAATTTTATTCTTAATCCTGTTGTATATAGCAATGAGTTTGAAAACAAATGTTTTTATACAAAAAACATGAATAGTTGTACATTATGTTAAAAAAAACAAAATCATTTTTATTTTTTTGATATAAACACTGTCATAAATATATTTAAAAGATTTGAAAAATTCTCAAAAGTATATAAAACATGAAATATAATTTACATAAAGACTGGTCGATAAATTTGTATTGCTTCCAACAGCACCAAGAAATGACAAAAATTTCATAGGGAGTAGTACTACAAAATACTGTATGTTGGCTTATTAGTTACTCATTACTTTTAACAATAAAATATTTTTAAATAACTCCAAGAAATTCAAAATTATTTTTGAATTATATTACTTATTGATATTTTATAAACATTTTGAAAATTATTCTTCACTTAAATAATAATTTTTTAACGTGGATCTATATTAATAAAAATTAATTATTTGTAAAATATTAGCTATGTACATAACCTTTCTTTTTACAATACAGTAACTTTAAAATAACAAGAAATAATGATTCACATTTATATAATATTGTGAATTAATTACGAATTATAAAAAATTCTTTAGTTTAAGATTATAATTTAATTGATATTAATTTTTTACTATTTTAGAATGAAATTGTATTAGCTATTAAAATAAATAGTTTTAACAATATACTTATAAATAATAAAAAATATATCAAATTATAAACCAAAATCTTAAATATTAATTCAATATTTAAATTTTTCTAAATAAAATATATTTTTATATTCAGATTAATAAAAAGGAATGTATAGTAAATATTTAAAATAAACTATTATAGTTTCAAATGATTAAAATTAAAAAAAATGCTTATATATTACCTTTCAGTGATATTTTGATTTAATAATAAAATTTATATTATTTTCTAAAATATCAAAATATTTTAGAAAATCAATAATAGTTGAAAAACCCAATTTTTTTCCTTAATATTGTTATATTTCATATGAATTAAATAATATTTTTTATCACTTACATATAATAATAACACTAATGTAAGTTTGTTTCAAAGGTAATGAATGCTTTGATTTTACCAATTTTTAATTTTAATACTTCACATTACCCATACAGTACTGCTATATAATTTGATTATAAATTAATAAAATTAATTATGAATAATAAATTTATATATTGTTAAACATTTTAATATTTTTATAAAGGAATTTCAAATATTTATAAATGAAAAATACATTATATAATTGTGTAAGTTTTAAACATTATCTTAATTTTTTAATAATTTCTATTGAATAAATTGTTAAATTTTAATATTTATTTTAAATAAATCTTTGTAATGTCGTCATAATTTCAAAACGAAACAGTTTTTTAAATTCTATGTTAAAATGTATTATTAGAATGAAAATAAAGTAATCAGAAATATAAAAATTTTGTTTATATGATAATATATACATAAAGCAATATGTAATTTATATATTATACATGTTTTTAGTTTAATAAATAGATATTTTTCTTGTTTATTTTAAAAATTATTTGAACTTTTAGCAAAATTTTTATAATTTTTCAAATAAGTATACTGCAGATAATACGATAAATTATTTCAAGAACAAAATATAAAAAGTAGGTTTGAAATTAATTTATTGACTAGTCGCGCATTAAATCTTGTGTCGCAATATAACGAAATAAATTGTTTGTCTTGTGTTATACGTAAGCAGTTTGTCATTTCTTTTGAATATAAATTATTCAAAATTTGAACTTATTTGATATTTATTCTATTTTCCTGCAGTTGGAGGTAAAATTGTTCTTTCGGAAGTGCGTTTAATAAATAATAATAAATAATAATAGTGATACATAATGAAATAATAATACAGAATACTATTCTGTGATATATGTTCGGGAATTTTTTGGAGCACTTTTCAAAAATTAAAATTAGGAAAAGTACAAGCTCTCGGACATTCATGTTTGTAAACACGATTCAGTGAATCCCGAATTTTCCTACGCCTTAAATTGGAATATAAGACAAGTTTCCGCATAGCAACGCCGATGAAGCTTCTAGAACCTTCCAAGGCTGTGCCTTTTGACGCTTCTAGAACATTCCAAAGTTTCGTTCTCTAACGTCATTACGATTTTCGGCATAGCAACAGGCATCGGCGCTGTTGCCGACGTCGCAAGCTACAACGCGAATATTTAAGAGCAGCGCGCCACGCACCGTCGTCAAATATAGCTCACTGTAATTCTACACCTCGCTCATTCATCTGTTATTATTAATTAGTGCATTTTCACATATGTATAGTATCAGTTATCACTTGCGATTACAACACGAAACGTAGCCGCATATTAGACAATTGGTCTACAAAACATACATGCGTTATTATAAAAATCCGGAATAACAGGTTAGCAATTTAACAGTGAAGTCGTTGGAATTGTAATCAATTATGTGCGCCAGCCACGCAGCCATTGAACATGCCCTATCTGTAGTTCATAAGGTATATCCTTTTATTATATGTACAAGCAAGTCATCCACGCTCGAATCACGCCACATATAAGGTCTGCCACAGGTGATGCAATACGCCCACTCATGCCGATCAGGCTAGAGAACGTACGTTCACCCCTTACCTGTAATTACATTGTGAAGGTCAGACTACAGTTATCAAATAGTCGACTATAACTACCTATTATTAAGTCCTTCCATCCTCGAAGGACCTGTTTATCATTTATTGTTCTTGCGTGTGATTAACTCTCTAATACTCCCATTCTCCCTTTAGAGTATGGTCGATTTACGTAACCGCTACCACAGAGCTACAGTATTTTCTCCTTTTAAATGTGCTTACTCTCCCTACGAAGTATTATTGATTACCCTCAGAATTACCATCATCATCTTCCTATACTGATTAATGAGCATGGTCGATTTCTCATGTTGATCTTTACATCAACATATACTCAATACTCAACATACACAGTAATTTCCATAACATCAACGACATCGCCATCACTCCAAAGAAGCATCTTCACCACTGCAATAGAATACTTATCTCTCTCTCTCTCTCTCTTACTTGAAGCAACCAACAAAAACTGCAATATTATAATAATTCATAAACCAGAATAAACAATATCTTCATTCAAAATATATATTACATAATATTTTCAGCCCTTCCACTTGTGCCTTTTCCTCCTAATCGCAACGGAGAGACTAATCCACTGAACTATTGAATTGGCAGTTCGAGCTACAAAACAAACACTCAATTTCAAACATATGTAATAAATACCGAATTGTCGTTTATCGGGTGAAAAATCTGATCTGCCATAATAAAATTGACGGTAAAAGGAAGATTAACGATGAAACATTACATCATGATTTTTTTTGTATAATACGCGATAATAAACCTTTCTTGAATGTTACATTAAAGTATAATCAATCTAACTATAATTTTAATGAATATTGACTACAACGGTTCGTAGACATTTTGGTATTTGTTTGGAATTGGAGCATTTTCCAAGACTGGCTCTCGGAAGCCTTCTAGCTCTCAATATTTGTAAACATTCGATTCCAAGAATTCTCGACTATTCTAAAGCATTAATTTCAAATGGCCTACAATGTTTATCTGATCTTCGCATAGTAACGTCGTTTGGAATTCTCAAAACTTCTAAAGCTGTAGTCTCGCATGTCATGCAAGATTTCCGCATAGTAACACCTATGCTTGGGCACATTGTAATTTAGTCAGTCAGTTAGTTTATTAATCATTACGCTATTTAGTCAGTGTTTTTAGCCATAAGCTGGTCACTCAGATACGTTCACGCAGTGAAGCCATTACAAGGAACACACGTTCAATCATCAAGTGAGCTACAACTTACAAGCAGTCAAGGGTGCTGACTGCATTACGAGAAAGTATACAACTATAAGAAGTATATTTCTGTTAATCTTTGCAACATTAACATACGCTACATTATGTAAATCATTCAGGCCACACGTTCTTTCCAGGAGTGTGCGCATATCCCTGCTAATCTTTATAACATTAGCAAACGTCATGTTATTTACACAAGGGGCATGCATCATCCTTCGCTGATCCTTACAAATTCAGCAACAACATCGTCACCATCAAGGAGCAACCATATCATTGCGAAAAGAATTTACACTTTTTTATGAGAAGTGAATGCAGCTCATTACTAATGTAATAGTTAATAATCCATATGTTAAAGAAGTTTACACATACCATACATTTCTACAACCTCTTATCTCTTTCCCAAGCTCCCGCTAGGCCGGGCGGTAATTTATTATGTTATCGAAACATTGGCAGTTTGAATTATTTAATATTAAAAAAATTTATTCACGATGAATTTCGAATTTTCTATTATGGAATATAAATAAAACACTTGATATATTTAATTTATTTATTTAATTAATAGATATTCATAATATATACTCTTTATTAATTCAACTTAGACATTTAATTCTTTGTTACAATTTTAACGCAACAAACATAAAAATCTTATGTAACAGAATGTTGTTGAAATACAATAAAACAAAATAAAAAGCAAGCATGTTATGTTCATGTAAAAGTAAAAAATAAAATTTACTTTATTAATTTTTATAAATATACATCTATATACATATTTATCAAAGAATGATTCTGGTAGTAACAGAATTTCTAAGTGAAGGTAAATATTTTATTTAAGTATATTACTTTTTTTATTTCAATGAAGATTTATTAACAATATATTTTTCAATTCGGTAAGCATTTCAATTAACTGTAGGAAAACTTTCCAAAGGGTTCTCTAATTTTCTGATTCTAATCTGGATTATTTTTTTGTAACATAAAAATTAAGATTTTTTAAAAATGTTTAATACATAGTTCTATATGGTTTTTATAAATTTCAAGATATTAATAAAATTGTTTAGCAAATTTTAATCATTTTGCATTTTATTTTCTCTTTTACTTTTAATTGTTTATTTTTTAATATGCAGTAACAAGCATTTCATCCATTTAAAGATACTAATAAAATTTTGTCACAGATTTTGATCTTTTTTCATTTTAATTTTCTTTAAATAATTTTTTTTTTTTTATTAAGTATCTTTTAGATAAATTATATTCATTATACATATACATAGAACATGATAGTGTTAGATCATTTTATATACCTCATTGTTAAATTCTATTGATTTACACACAACCTTCTCTTAAACATTTTTCTTTTTTCACTTGCTTAACTTCTTTATTAAATTTGCAAAAAGTAGAATCATGTAATTCCTTTTCTTGTTTAGTTATTCGTGCAAGTTTTCCATTCAATGTTAAACCAAGTCGTGCTGCTTTATGTCCTGTTCGCCCTTTGCAAGCCTTAAAAACATCTTCTGATATTTCAACACTTACGTGTTGATTTTTTATACTGTCTTCAAGAAAATTATTTGAACTATCATTTACCATATTTTTCTTATGCCAAATAGATTTTTGGGATTTATCATAATATAAAAACTGTTTTTCTACATTTATTCCATTCGACAAAATATAAGTATTTATTTTATTTTTATTTTTCAATATTATATTAGATTTTTTATTAAAAATAATATTGCTTAGAGCTTTATTATATACAAAATTCCACCTTTGAAATTCTGTATTGCTGTATCCAAAACCAAACGTATTTAATTTTAACTTTGATTTTAAAGCTTTGGTAATACCATTCTCATTTTTACCAAGTCCTTTGCCTGTAATAAATGAACAAATTAAAAGTAAAAAATTCTATGTGCTGTAATTTATTTAATTATCTTTAAATAAACTTTAATGCAAAATTGTTTTATTTATATATATACATATAATTCAATATACAATTAATTATTATAAAATGGATTAAAACAAAATCTAGAAAATGTAATACATTTTTTTCAAGTATTTTAAAATAAATTTTAGACAATTTTAATTTAATTATTTATTTATTTATTTAAACTTGTAATATATTTATACATGTGTAATTATAAATAATACACATTCCAATAATAAATATAATATATAAATAATTAACATTGTGTACAAAATTATTATTATAATTAAATGAGTACAGTAATCATTTTCTTTAACTCAAATTTAATATTATTTATAATGTATTACATTGTTCACAAGATTTATTTTTACAACTAACTTTTAAATGAAAAAGTTGTTTAATATAACAATGCATAAATTCAAATATAAAAAATAAAATTTATAAGAATTGTAACAATGAAAACTACTTTATATAATAGAAATTCAATAATATTCATTGAATTATAAAAAAAAATGTATATATTTATTAATTTATTATTTGAATCATTTATACTTTTATATTAAATCGAATTATTCAAAAATTAAAATAACTTTTAAAAAAAGGATACGAAATAACTAATATTGTTATTAATATGTATTGGATAGTTACAATTACCTTCAGTCCAGCCATATTTGAATAGTTGGGTCTTTCCAAATTCAGTCATAACTTTCGCACATATAACTAATTTTACTTTCTAAAAACAGTGTTCGATGGTATAGAAATACGGAATTCTAATACGGTAATTTTTTATTTTACAATGATTATGATTTTCGATATGTTTATGATATTATCAACTGATCATTTTGTAAGGCAAAAACATAAACTTAAATAACAAGGTAGAGATCAATGAACTGCGAATAACAGGTTTTGTATTTGTTAAAAAATTCACTTTGAATGATAATAAATAATTTTAAAAATAAAAAGTAAGTAACTGCTAGAATACATTTGTAATTAATATTATCTAATAATATAAGTATAATATATAATGTATACTAAAAAGTAATAGTGTAAGTAAAATACAGTTTCACCTTTATGGACTCCTTTCATTACTCTGTGAAACAGAGCTTATCACTTTTCAATCGCATATTTGAAACTATTATTTAAGAAGTGTAAAAAAATCCACTATTGCTTATGACTATTATGTACGGTGGAAATTTTAATAAATAATATTACGTGTGAGTTCTATTCTATCAATGCGAGCCAATTGCTTTATTAAACGTAAAAATAGTAATTTAATTGTATATCTAAATATTTAATCTATTTGACGACTAAGCCCTGTGAATTATTGCATAACTTTTATTTTCTTGTAATCTGTAAGTTACATTTTTTATTTTAAATTTATGCTTTTAGAGACGAGCTTTTAGAGCATATGATGTCATTCAACTCATCTTCTGAGCATCAAAGCATTAATATAATATAATACTATTAATATATTTATAATATATTATCATTACAGAATTCTTATTGTAATATATTTAACTTCCATTCGCCATATTACGTATAGTTTTGCAAAAAAATGTTATAATATGATTATTTTAATAACATATAGTATTATTAAATGTAATAATAATATAAATTTTTTTTTTATTTCCATAATAATTCGAAAAAAGAAAGAATTCAATTGCTTTATTACAGCTAAAAATATTTTTAAAATATTAATTCCAACTGATAAATAACGTTGATTTTATCAAGGATATTTATATCAAAGGTATAGTGTCACTGATATAATTTGCAATAAAACAACATTGAGACGAAGATAATAACGAAATCAAATATTTAAAGAATTAACAATAAAAATCAGACTTCATGTACAAAATGGTACTCTCAATTGAAGGATAGTATTATAAACAAAACTACATTAATAAAAGAAAGTAGGAAATTAGATATCAAATCATAATACTTATTGATACTAAAATTAAATTAAATAAGAATGTTTTTATAATCATGAATTAAAAATAAATTCTCAACATTGGTATATGAATAGTTTACAATTAATAAATATATTAAATATCGGTATTACAATAAATTGAATAGCATTATAATTCCATATACAAAATTAACTTATATATTTGTAAACGTTGAACATTTTTATTCGACAAAATGAAGGTCAAATTTAATACACTTTAATGATGGTTTGTTTTAATAATATAATTTGACATAATAACATAGCTGTAATGAATATCTACAATAATAAATTTATCGCAAAGGCAACTATCTGTATTTATACGATTATTTTCTATCGTAAAAGTTTACAAATCTGAATTAACAATAAACAAGAAATGTCGATTAAACTCGTTCTGTAATACATTGCAGACAGAGTCTAATTGAATTCATGTTTAATACAACTTCATATTCATTAATATATTTTGACGAAAATATTCTTATTGATACAAGAACTAAAGTAATACTGGTTGAAAGGCAATTAAAAACATTTATTTCTTTCGATAAAAATGTTCAATGATTATTAAAAATCGAGTGAAGTATACTACTGCATAAAACTTTCAACGCTTCTGTTACATATGCAGCTGTATGGTAAAACATATAAATTAAAATGAAATGAAAAATGTATTACATATAAAATGTTATAAAAAACATATATTTAGCTATAGTCGTAGTACTAAATACAATGTAGTGTTTTTTTTTTTAATTATTCAAATAAAAATACATGCATGCGTGAAAAAGAATAATAAACTATACAATAAAGCAATCCATAAAATATACGGATTTATAATTATATTATTGTTGTATTTATTAAGCTCTATAATATTTTATTAAATTAAGATTAACATGCATTTTTCAAATATTTACAGTAAAATATAAGATTGTAGAATTTCAATGTAAGACAAGTTTTATGTAGATATAGACAACATTACTAATAGTGTTACGGATTACAACAGTTTTAAGCGGAATACAAAGTGGGAGAGGTATGAGCGCGCGAAGCATTCTTTGGTAAACATTGGCCAACGGACTCGACGAATGCTTTTAACCGAAAAACTCGAGCATACGACTATAATTCCGAGAAATATTAACAAATGAACCCCGAAAAAGCTATGCCCTATTGCCGTCACGACAAATAGCGGCATCCAGTTCGTACGAGAATGTGAAGGGAGCTGCACGTGTCGCGATTGCCCTGCTAGTACCAATCATGCACTCTTCACAGGGGGATCGCTATCCAACCTTGCCATCGGTATTGGGAGGCCATGGCAAGCATCAAGCAACCTAAGGAACTAATAGCGATGCCACAACTATACTGGCACCCACGCCTCCGTAAGCAACGCAGATGCTCGTTCCTTACTACTTCTTCTAGTTATCAAGCACCCATCAACTCAAGTAAGATGCGACCAGACGCTCATTCTTACTATCTCATCACGCGGTTCCTGCCACTCTACTCATCACACAGTTCCCGCCACCACGTGCAAGTAACGCCGGCTCTCGTTCTTGCATATTACTTCGCCACGCGATCGCCACTCTGCTCATCACACAGTTCCTGCCACTGAGTGCAAGTAACGTCGACTCTAGTTCTTCCATATTACCTCGCCATGCGGTTGCTGCTACCTCATCACACAGTTCCCGCCACTGAGTGCAAGTAACGCCGACTCTCGTTCTTACATATCACCTTACACCGCGAGTTACACTCGCATCGAGCACACGACGTGTACCAACATCACCACTACCTTGGAGCTCACGGACACGTAACGACTACACGCTCACAAGTACCGACTACAAACACAAAGAACAGTATTGAATAATTGCATTGCCCCTTCCACTTGCCAGCAAGCCTCCACCCACCATCATGAGGAGGTTTTTAGTCTGATCCCAGACAAATAGGCATATATCAAGATGTATGTGTAATAAGGTTATGTAATAAGATGTATGGTAAAATTATTTCACTATAAAAAGTTTTTTTTAATTCTGACATTAAATTAACATTTAATTGATCGATATGTACAAAATTTTTTTTAAAAATATTGTATAAAAAATAAAATTTAAATTAATAAGTAGATGATTGTCTATTTTTCAAAAAAATGTGTTGGTATTATTAGTACTAATTTGAACTTCTATAGAGATCCATATAAAATGTATATATAATCCATATATAATGTATTATTGCACATATATAAACAAGATGCCTTTTTTATGATTACTTATCAAAAATATACATTTAGTAATATAGGATAGCCGCATCAATAATGATATAACAATCTAATTTGTAAATAATTTCAGTGTATGCATTTTTTATTTATAACTATTTCTAATCTTATACATCATTTGTTATATATAATTATGATTAAAAACAGTGTACCGGGCGAAGAGGGCCAAGTAACTAAGATTAGATGGGAGCTCCCGATGTTGATAGGAGGATTGCAGGCTAGTGGACAAGATAGTACATGTATTCAATAAAGAGTAGTTTTGTTATTTAGTTTGTTTTATTTATGATTGCAATAGTTGAATTATAATTAGTTTTATTTATATAATTAATTTTTTTGCTTTTCTTGATTTGTATGTTTATTGCCACTGAGCTATCACGTAAGTCGCATATACAGGAAGAAGTTGATGCCTTGCTGGTCCTCTATATGTAACACACGTGTAGATGAAATAATACACACAGAAGAGCGAGGTCGTAAACTCTCGCGCTTCCTTGTATATGAGCACGTGGCATCGCTTGAATTGCTTGTATTATGTTTTGCAGATTGGCGTATATAGCTTGATATAGTTATTTATTAATTTGGAATGGAACGTTACCTCGTGAGTCTGCACGTTGTGTATAGCTACGTTTTGTCTTGTTCTTTAAGTTGCCTCGTATGGCTCCTTGCAGTTTGATTGTGTATACTGTGTGGACTAATATTCGTAGTTCTCGATTCCCCTTTTTTTGTATTGCACTGCTGCGAGTGTATGATTTGATTATCTAGTACTTATGTTGAATAGATTAATCTTGTGTAAGTAACTTGGACTTTTGCGTTTAGTTGACTTGTTCCTTTTCTGTTAGATAAGATAAGAAAAGTGTTTGTGCCATGCCGGCGTTGCCTTTTTTAAAGCCTTCTCTCGACCACTCGGTGGTCGGTGAGAATTCCCTCTCTTTTGGTGTCGCCAATCAGAACTGTCTTGTCGATCATGGTGTTGCCAATGAGATTTAGTCTTATTAGTGTACCTAATCAGATTTTCTTTAGTTTATGGTAATTCTAATCACGGCGCCTTTCGAGTGGTGGGGTATCCCACCAGTGAGTCTTTCCAAGTTGGAGGCTCCAATGAGAGCGGGTCTTGCTCAACTCCCTTCCATGATGGGGGGTCTTGATGCCGCGCTTTTCCCTCTCCATCCTAGCATTGTTGCATGCATTTATTATAATCATGCGCGTTGCGATTGGTCAGTGTTGTGAAGGTTAGGTGTAGCATTGATTTGAGTGTATCATCTGGCTTATGTTTTTCAGGCTAATTTTATGATTTGTGTACGCCAGATGTTTTATGATTTGTCGTCGATAGATACTTTATGGCGAGGCCGTGTCAAATGTCTCGTATAATTAGTTTTATGACTTATTTTGCTAGACACTTGGAGCCTTGTTCTCGCCAAATGTGTTTATGATGTTTATTTTCTTAAGATATTCGAAGTTTTGCTGAATTGCTTAGATTTAGTTAATCCGAGGCGCGTTTTGAATGTTATTACTCGCGCAGCCGAGAGTTGCCTTTTTCGAAACTCTTATCTCGATTTTTCCAGATGTTTAATGAGCTGGGAGTTTTCTTACATTCTTGAACAAATGATATATTTATTTTTATGTCAGTTTCCCATAATAAATTTAATTTATAATATTTAAAACTCGTTTTTTCAATTATAAA